CAGGTCCGGGTCTCGGATCAGATTCTCTCAGACCTTTCTCAGACAGCTGCGGTGAGGTAAGTGTGAAAATGACTAGACATTTAACACGAAACAATCTGCCCCCATTAAAGCAATAACACAGAGAGCACAGGCACGCCCCTCACAGAAATCTAACCCACAACCTCCTTATACTGAGAAGACACAGGCTAACCACTCTGCCACTGTGACACAGAGAGGACAGGCGCACTCCTCAAAGGAATCTAACCCACAACCTCCTTATAGTGACACAAAGAGGACAGCCACACCCACTTAGGCCTGTCACAATAACACATTTTTACATATGATTTATCACTGAAGTAAATATAGACGATAAATGAAAATACTGCAACTAATTAATACAACTAACATAAAAAGCTACAAAAACTATTCTAAAATAAAAAAAAAAACAACAACCCCACAAGCTTAAATAAATAATAATAAATAATTTCTGTAACGCAGTCATGTTACGGCATTACAGGGAAAGAGTAGTAATATTTTACTCTGTACAAATGTGAGTAACGTGTGTCACAATGTATTTTTAACCTGGATTGAAGTGGTGGGTTTTTCGTTTTTCTTCATACAAATTCGCTAAAATCACAGCGATCAGCAGCAGTGAAACAACATTGTTACGGTTACAAATGTCGGGACGGGCCCGGACGTGCGCCCGTGTAGACCGTCGGGTGACCATGAGCGAAAGGATCGATGCAGAACTCCACGCTCAATGGGGCGATTTGCAGCCGACGCCCGATCGAGCTCTGCGGACGCCCTGTTCCACGGGCTCTGGGTTCTCTCAGGGGCGGTCCTAGATCAAATAAAAACAAATCAAACTTTATTTATAGAGTGCTTTTCTTACAAAAATGCAACGCAAAGAGCTTCCAAGAGATTCCATGTCCTAGTCCAAGATTAGTAATGGTTTGGTCCTGGTTTAGTCCCTGTTTAGGCTTGACTCAGCCCTGGTTCCGTGCTGGTTCAGCTCTAGTTTAGTCCTGGTTTAGACCTGACTGAGTCCTGGGTCAGTCCTTGGTTCAGTCCTGGTTTAGTCCTGGTTTTGTCCTGGTTTTGTCCTGGTTCAGTCCTGGTTCAGCTCTAGTTTAGTCCTGGTTTAGACCTGACTGAGTCCTGGTTCAGTCCTTGGTTCAATCCTAGTTTAGTCCTGGTTTAGACCTGGTTTAGTCCTGATTCAATCCTGGTTCAGCTCTGGTTTAGTCCTAGTTTACACAAGGTTCAGTCCTGGTTCAGTTCTGGTTCAGCTTTGGTTTAGACCTGATTCAGTCCTGGTTTAGCTCTGGTTTAGACCTGGTTTAGACCTGATTCAGTCCTGGTTTAGCTCTGGTTTAGACCTGGTTTAGTTCTGATTCACAGAAGTTTTTCATTCAGCCTTTCACATCATAAATCTTATTTAAAAAAAATTAAAAACATTTCATAGTACTGTTTAAAAAAAAAAAAAAAAGTACACACAATAAATACTGACCTGAAAATATATTACTGCGGCTGTCATATATTAAAGTTGACAGGCACACGCTCGCTCAGAGAAAGTCTAACCCACCGCCTCCTTATACTGAGAGTACTACGATGTACTTCAGGTATGCAGTAGTATAGTGTGTACGGAGTATCTGGTGCTCGTAATAAAACACAGTCTATTAATAATGTCATTCACACCTCTCAGCGCTTTATGATCGCACCGAGCAGCCAATAAATCAGGATACCACAACTACACCGCTTCTACTTCTGTTATTATTATTATTAGTTAAAGATGGAACTTGGAACCACCTGCTCGTTTCCATGGAGATCTTGTTCCACAGCCTCTCTGCGGATCTGACTTGTAACTTGGATCCCGCATGCTTTTGTCTAGATAAGTTTATAATGTCGTCAGTGGGGTCATTAGAGGTGCGTAGTACTCAGTTACATTTACTCGAGTAACATTTTAAAGATATTGTACTTTTCGAGCAGCATACTAATTTTTTTGTCCTTCAAATTATAAATCCATTGTTACTTGGGTAGTACTTTTATCAAAAACAGGGAGTCCCAAAGAATCTGACATCATTTCGCAGGTCAGTAATTTTGGCAGTTCTTGTTGAAATAACCTACATTTTTTACAGAATCTATAGAAACAGATCAAGATTTTATATTTAATGTTTTATTACCTGATCTCCGAAGGGTTGAGCAGGTTTTGTATTCACCCTGTGTGTGTGTCTGTCCACCCATGATAATTTCGCCATTTATGGACCGATTGTCACCAAATTTGGTACGTGGGTCAAGCCCCTGCGCCTGATGCAACAAAAAAAGTTTGGTGATGATCCGAGGTCATTTGAGGTCACACGGTTCAATTGAACGGTCATGCCATTATAAAGGATCGGCAATTTCGGCAATTTTTGAACCATCTGCGGACTAAAATATTCACCCAATCATCACTCAAGTCGGCACACACATCACCAGGGTACACTGGATGTTACAGGTTGAAACCGGTCACTTGAAGGTCAAGGTAACCAAGGTCAAATATGCGTTTTTGGTCATAACTCCGTGAAGGATCGAGCGAGAGCAACGGGAGTGTTTCAAAATCTCAGAAAAATTATTATCTATTTATAATTCTATGCATTTGTATAGTAAAATATTAATAGTTTTTGAGATAATCACTAATTATAACAGTTCTTTTCTCTTTCAGTGTAGCTGTTAAAATTCTAATTGTATCGAAAATAATTTCCATTTCTTGTTTTTCTGGTGATACACAACACACTGATCTACACTCACACAACTAACACATACACAACTCATGAAAAATGACATTTTGGTTACACACCAGTGAACACAGACATTCTCATGTGTGACCAATATCACACAAATGTTCATGGGCCTGTACGATGTGATATAAGCTCATAAGCTGCTTCTGTGGTGATGAACTGACCCCACTGATGCTTCATGGGGACCAGGTTGTGTCTCTGATTGCGCTTGTTTCTGTTATGTTTTCAGTTTGAGCCGTTCACTTCCAAACAGAAGTCATTTTGCATCTTGGAATCTGCTGCACACACTCACCCGAGACTGTGCAGCCTTCAATGCAAAATTTGGAAAAAACTTCACTGACTGGCGAACAAATTTGGGCTTGGTACCAAAAATGTAAAGAAGAAAGCTGATTATGCAGGACTAAAGGATCTGTTTCGCCAAACCGTCAATTGAGGAATCTGGGTTTCCAAGCTTGTTCTCCTTATGGACTTCTTGGGGCTACGCAAGAGTTTTTCACAATCTTCTCAACCTTCTCTTTTGATGTTGATGATGGTCTAACAGATCCTCCAGTCCTGCATAACCAGCCTTCCTCTTTAAATAAAAATGTTTTGGTACTTTGTCCTTGCATCAAGTGGAGGAGTTCAAGTATCTCGGTGTCTTGTTCACGAGTGAGGGGAGGATGGAGTGTGAGATTGACAGGTGGATCAGTGCAGTGTCGTGTGTGATGCGGTCGCTGTAACCATTATTATTAGTTTGTATGACCATAGTATTTTGCGATATGTAAATATTTGTAAAGGTTCATGATCAATGTACATAAAAAAACACCACATTATTTTTGAAACTATATCATGAATAGAGGCGGGTTAATATAACTTTTTTTCTTCTTCCCGCTCCTTTTTGAGAAATGTGCTTTTCTGTTGTTTACAATGTTTATGTATTATGATTATTGTATATGTAGTATAATTACTGTTTCTCATTCAGAACAGAAATAATTCAGATTTAAAAGTGCTTAATAACAGTTATTTTACAATGTATTCTGCACTGAAATGGAAGGATCAGGTTCTATGTAGTTCCCTCTGTTTTACTGTATTGCACTCTATATTACTGTATTGCAGTGTATTGTACTGTATTGCACTGTATTGTACTGTATTGCACTGTATTGCACTGTATTGTACTGTATTGCACTGTATAGCACTGTATTGCATTTTATTGCACTGTATTGCATTTTATTGCACTGTATTGTACTGTATTGCACTGTATATTACTGTATTGCACTGTATTGCACTGTATTGTACTGTATTGCACTCTATATTACTGTATTGCACCGTATTGTACCGTATTGCACTGTATAGCACTGTATTACACTGTATTGCACTGCACTGTATATTACTGTATATTACTGTATTGCACTGTATTGTTCGGTATATTACTGTATTGTACTTTATTGTACTGTATATTACTATATTGCACCGTATTGTACTGTATTGCACTGTATTCACTGTACTGCACTGTATATTACTATATTGTACTTTATTGTACTGTATTGTACTGTATATTACTGTATTCTAATGTATATTATTGTATTGTATTGTATTGTACTGTCTGTTACTGCACTGTACTATATATTACTGTAGTACATTTGAGTATCAAAGTACTTCAGTTCCATCCAAAGTAACAAACAGAAGTGGGAGCAACATGTTCCAGTTTGTTCCTGTAAAATTCAGATCTGCATTTATCAACTGTGAAAAGATATATATATATATATACACATACATACACATATATATATAATTTATATTTTAGGAGCAGCATCAAGTTTTCTCAAGTCATGGGGCTCAAGTCCGAGTCAAGCCCCTAGTCATTGACCTTCAAGTCCAAGTCGAGTCCCAAGTCTTTGTTTATTTAATCAAGTCTCAAGTCCTAAAAATAGTGACTCAAGTCTGACTCGAGTCCAAGTCATGAATTCCAAGGTGGATCCGAGCATTTTGAGCTTTAGAGACAAACTAAAAGATTTACTCAAACATGTGAATGAAACAAAACACTCTGTTTTTGATGATGTAACAGCTTTATAATGTGTTTTGAATCTCACAGTTGTTCATTTTTGCGTAACATAAAACCTTTAAAGCCCATGTTACACAACAGGACCTCACAGCGTGGTTTTATTGGGTGGTACCTGTGAGCGGATTAGAGTCTCGTCTTCTTGTGGGTGTGGACTCGTGATGTTAAACTCTTCTGCCTCTCTGAGCTCCAGTCTGTCCTGGACCCCGCTCCACTCCACAGGCAGAGGTGAGTGCAGCTTCACTTCACTTTACACGCGACGATTTTATGCTGATCCCAAGATAAACGGCGAATAAGAGACAGATTTTCATATTGAACGCTTTGTACTTTTGTCATGAAATCTCCAAAATGTTGAACCAGATCTTTTCTATTAGTTTCTAAAGCCAAATACTCACTGTTTTATAACCAAAACAACAAATCTAGAATCTTTTTTTACTGCTCCCGTCTGTATTAAAAGTCCAAAAGTGACTCTTTATTTTTTTCGGTTTTGGTTTTTCTATTCTTAATGGTTTTTAACACTGCATGAGTTGTGTGGTCCTCTGTGTCTTTTATTTATTATTAATTTAATTTATTTATTGCTATTCTATGGTTTTTGCTCTCGTTTTACTATTTTAAGACTAGTATGGTTAAATCTGAGCGCTTATTTTATCATTATATTTTTATTATTATGTATTTTTGCAGCACGTTGGAAATAAATTGTATTGGATGGAGTTGTTTTGTTTCATTTACACACGTTTGAGTAACTTTTTATTCTTAGTGCGTCCTCTCCAAACCTCAAAATGCTCTGTTCCACCTTCCGATGTCATGAAGTGGTAGTTTTCAAGTTAGTAGCTGCCTTTTTGTTCAGTAGAGAATTCCAAGACTAAACGCATCCGAATAATCCAAAAAAGCGTAGTGACTCAGCCTAAATGTGCAGGGTTTGTGTGAATGAAACAAAACACAACTCCAGGTCTGTTTCTGATGAGGAAATTATAACACAGATCAGAAAATACTAGTGTAAAATTGGGAACTTTACGTAATTTTTGTCTGTAGAATCTTGCGATGTCGTCTGAAACGCAGTCAGATCTGAATTTCAAGTTTCTGTTTCAAATATATATGTTATTATCTGCACTTATAGGTTTTGTTTTTTCATTTTTTTATGTAATTCCCTCGATCTGATGTTGAAAATGTATTGACGATAACAGTAAGACAAAAAATCGAAGTCGAATATCAGCCAGAAAAATCAGTTTTGGATCGCAAATATGCATTCTGAAGACTAACTTTGAGTAATTGTAATCTGGTAACTGTATTCTTTATTTTCTTACATTCATACATCCGTGTGTCATTCGTTCATTCGTTTTTCAAAATAAAATCAAAAATAAGAAAATGAAAAAAACAACAATTTTCTTCATTATTTGTCTCCAAAACCAAAATGAAAAAATGGATAACAATTCATTTTTTCAGTTTTCAAATTTTGTGTTTAAATGAAAAATTGAAAAAAAACAAAAACAGATACCAGCCTTTTCCTGTTTACGTGACTTAAACTGCGATGCCGAACTGAACCAGGACTAAACTGGTCTCAGTCCTGGTCTCAGTCCCAGTCTCAGTCGGTCTCAGTCCTGGTCTGGTCCCGGTCTGGTCCCGGTCTCAGTCCTGGTTTAGTCCTGGTTCAGTCCTGGTTCAGTCCCAGTCTGGTCCCGGTCTTGTCCCAATCGGGTCCCGGTCTCAGTCCTGGTTCAGTCCTGGTTCAGTCCCAGTCTTGTCCCGGTCTGGTCCCGGTCTTGTCCCAGTCTGGTCCCGGTCTCAGTCCTGGTCTGTGTCCTGGTCTCCATCCCGTTATCAGTCCTGGTCTCCGTCCCGGTCTCAGTCCTGGTCTCCGTCCCGGTCTCAGTCCTGGTCTCCGTCCTGGTCTGGTCCTGGTCTGGATCTCAGTCCTGATCACCTGACAGTCTACGCGGGCGCACCTCCGGGCCTGTCCCGACACTACTGGTTCAGTCCTGGTTTAGTCCTGGTGTAGTCCTGTTTTAGTCCTGATTCAGTTCTGGTTCAGTCCTGGTCTCAGTCCGGTCTTGTCCCGGTTTGGTCCTGGTATGGTCCCGGTACGGTCTCGGTCTGGTCCCGGTCTGGTCCCAATCTCAGTCCTGGTCTCAGTCCCGGTCTGGTTCCGGTCTGGTCCCGATTTCAGTCTTGGTCTCAGTCTGGTCTTGTCCCAGTTTGGTCCCTGTCTGGTCCCGGTATGGTTCTGATCTCAATCCTGGTCTCAGTCCCGGTCTTGTCCCGGTCTGGTCCCGGTCTGGTCCCGGTCCGGTCTCGATCTCAGTCCTGGTCTCAGTCCGGTCAGTCCCGGTCTGGTCCCAGTCTGGTCCCGGTCTCAGTCCTGGTCTCAGTCCGGTCTTGTCCCGGTTTGGTCCCGATATGGTCCCGGTATGGTCTCGGTCTGGTCCTGGTCTAGTCCCGGTATGGTCTCGGTCTGGTCCCGGTCTGGTCCCGATCTCAGTCCTGGTCTCAGTCTCGGTCTGGTCCTGATCTCAATCCTGGTCTCAGTCTCGGTCTGGTCCCGGTCTCAGTTCTGATCACCCAACAGTCTACGCGGACACATCTCCGGGCCCATCCCAACACTCAGTCCTGGTTCAGTCCTGGTTCAGTCCTGGTTCAGTCCTGGTTCAGTTCGGCTTTGCAGTTTAAGTCCTGTAAAAGGGAAACGTCCATTATCCATTTTTTCCGTTTTTCATTTAAACACAAAATCAAAAACTGAAAAAACAAATCTTTATCCGTTTTTTCATTTTGGTTTTGGAGACATATAATGAAGAACATTTTTGGTTTTATTTTGAAAAACAAATAAACGAATGACACACGGGCTGCAGCGCTTACACTGTGTGAACGTGTGATTTTTTTAGTTTCTCCGTGGACATAAACAAACAGTGCAACAAAAATAAAGCTGTTTGTAATTATATGACATGTTTTTTTTACTGTATAATACAATACTACTCAGTGTAAAAGTATTGAGAGTATTCAAAACATAGTACTTTGATTGGCCCATGTAACAGAACACATTATAAAGTATATTTTTAATTCAGGTATTCAGTGTTTTGTAACTAAATACATTTTCACTGCACATTTGAACTCGAATGGGACACGTGATGCAACCTCAGCTTTTACCGAAAATATGTAATAAAAGCGTAAAAGTTCTGTTTTTGTTTGATGTGTTAAACCCACAGTATGTCACTTTTTAGCCAAAAAATTGACTCGAGTAAAGTTCTTTTTTGTTTTCATTTCTTTCATTTCAGGATGTTTTTATTTGTGCTGAAAAACTGTGAGCGGGCTCGCATCTCCATAAACCTGCCTCTTCCTGCTTGTTCCCATGGCAATGTTGTTCCATTGCCTATAATGTCCTAGTCCGTTTCATCAGACGGTTTCACTTTGTGGAAACCGTCTGACCTTGCGGCATTAGGATTTGTTCGCTCAACAGTAGGCGGGTACTTTTTTAATTTAACCAATCGCTGCTGTTTGGCAGTGATGTTTGTAATGCGCCAAATCCCGAAGCAAAAACGTCTGTCAAAGTGGTGTAAGGATATCCAAGTCTCACAATACGATATCATCACGGTACGATATTTATTGTGATATCGCAGTAACGCTCACGATATTGTGAGGAGACTCACGATTAGGGATGTAACAATATCCAAATCTCTCTGTACGATATTTTCACAATATACATCTCATTGTACAATATTTATTGTGATATTTTGTGGAGGCAACAAAACTGTTAAGATGCGACTTTTTCCTCTTAAAATGCCTCGACAAGACTTAATCCAAAGAACTAAGACTTAAAAGTGCTTAAACTGTTATTTCTTCTTGTAGTCTGCACTGAAATGGCGCAAAGGATCATGGTCTATGTAGTTTCCTCTGTTTGTTTTTTTTTTTAGCTTTTGCTGCACCATAACTCTTAATTTAAGCAAAGAGACTTTAATTTGATATATTGTGATGGTCCACGATGTTATTGTGAGAATTTTGATGATACAATATCACAATATTTTGATTATTGTTGCATCACAAGTTTTTCCCCTTGATAAAATTCACCAAACATTCTCTTTGTTCCGGGTTTAAATCCTCGATCTCGGGAATCGTTGACAACATTAAATGTATGACTCTTTGTTGATTGGCTGGTGCCCGAACTCACACTTCTGGGTTTTTGTGAACCATCTAGTGCAGGGGTGTCAAACATACGGCCCGGGGGCCTGATCTGGCCCTCCAAGACCTTTAATCTGGCCCTTGGCTGATTTTCTACTAAAATATTTTAATTATATTTTCTATTAAAATATTGTTAATTTCCTGTGGTGCTTAGCACAGCAGCGTCTCCAGTGTCTCTGTACGTGGCCCCTCCCACCAGAGCAGCACAAATGAAGACTTGTCTCTTTCCAAACGCTCTTAAAGGACGATCGTTTTGACTGTTGACCGTGACACCCTCATCAACAAAATGTCCAAAACGAGAAAAGTGGAGCCGAGTGCAGGATTTTCCAACAAAAATGGACTTAATCCTATTTACATACAAGTTAATGTTAAAACATTGGAGTGGAAATTGCATTTTTCTTAAAGTTTCAGGTTGTTCATAATATTATAATATTTTGTAAAAGAAAGAGTTCATCAATTAAAAAAGATTTCTGTAATAGATTTGTGTTTTTCTGCACAAATATTTGAACTTATTGTTATTTTTGGGGTTTATATGACATGAGTTTTCTGATCTGCCCCTTGGGATCAAAGTAGGTTGGATACGGCCCCCGGACCAAAATGAGTTTGACACCCCTGCTGGTGACATGCCCCCTCCATGAAAGTGACATACTGTACCCTAAACGCGGAACAGTACATACAGTAGTTTGAATTATATAATATGTTTTGTGTTTTATTTGCGTGTCTGTTATTTTTGGCTCTGCTTTCTGTGATGATAGATCCACGGGCTAAACCTGCTGCGTTGTGTTTCAGATGAACTTGGCTCTGGTCCACGATCGGCTGCACATCAAGTCCTTTTGGGAGAAGAGGATCAACGATGACACTGAGCACGCCCAGACCGAGGAGCAGAGGAGGAACCAGAGCGCACTCGGAAAGTACGAACCTAACCCCAAACCTGCTCACTGTTGACAGGTTTGGTGCTTCAGCCCTCCTCCTCTTCCTCTCTGTTCTCTCTTTGCTTGTACCCTTTTGTGGTGAGGTTAGATTAGATCAGGTCTTCAGCTGTCCTCGTAACTCTGTGTATGTGTGTGCACTGCAAAAAGCTTGGCCAAAATTTAAGATAAAAACACTTAAATCTATCAGAAAATGACTGAAAAGTAGTGAAGTTATCTGTTATCTTAAAATAAACGACCTCTAGACTAGAATGAAGCATCTCAGAACAAGTAAGTAAGAAATAAATCTGAAAACGAGATGAATAACCTGATATACATTTTAAAATCTTGGCCAGGCCAGAGACATTTGCAGTGTGCGTGCTTGTGTGTGTCTGCGTGTGTGTGTGTTGTTTACATGAGTGTGAGTAAATTCGTGAGAGATGACATCATGTTTATGTGTCCTTGAGTCCTCCTGAGGCATTCTAATTAGGTCTGCTCGGGCCCTCGTCGGCATTTCCTGTGGTATACTTGAAGACGGTGATATCTATAAAATACCTCCAGGCAAAACGTGTTGAGAAGTGTATTTATTCTAAAAGCCCAGCAGTGGGCGCTAGGACTGCACCTGTCAACACAGTGAAATAAAGAGCAGCTTGTGTCAGGTTACATTAACTTAGACTTATACTTGGACTTGGACAAACTTTATTGATCCACAAGGAAAATTATTTGGACACAATAATTCACACATCACAATATAATAAAATAACAAAGAGTAAAAATATAAAATGTAATATTCATCTATTTTCTTTCGCTTATCCGGGTCGTGGGGGCAGCAGTCTAAGCAGGGACTCCCAGACTTCCTTCGCCCCGGACACTTCCTCCAGCTCCTCCAGGGGACCCCTGTGGAGTTCCCAGGTCAGCCCAGAGACATAGTCCCTCCAGTGTGTCCTGGGTCTTCCCCGTGCCCTCCATCCGGTGGGATATACCTGGAACACCTCCAGCAGGAGGCGTCCAAGAGGCATCAGAACAGATGCCCGAGCCTCAACTGGCTCCTCTCGACGTGGAGGAGCAGCGGCTCTACTCCGAGCTCCTCCCGTGTGACTGAGCTCCTCACCCTATCTCTAAGGGAGCGTCCAGCCACCCTGCGGAGGAAACTCATTTCAGGCGCTTGTATCCGCGATCTCGTCCTTTCAGTCATTACCCAGAGCTCATGACCACAGGTGAAGGGAGGAACACAGATTAAGCAGTAAATCAAAAGCTTTGCCTTTAGGCTCAGCTCCCTCTTCACCACAACGGTCCGATACAGCGACCGCATCACTGTGGTATAAGGTAATAATAAATTCTAAATAAGTAGCAAAAAAGAGCAAGAGACATGTGTCAAATAAGACATAATTATATAAATGTAAATGTACTAGTCAAAAAAAAAAATAGAAAGATAAATAATAAAATATAAAATCACAGCTTTATACAAGAGGTCACAGGAAAACAACGCAACAATGATATAATGATTGACAGGACATAGGGTTATCTGTTACATAAGGCTGAGTTGTTGTACAGTTGTAGGGAGTATTATCTGTTACATAAGGCTGAGTTGTTGTACAGTTGTAGGGAGTATTATCTGTTACATAAGGCTGAGTTGTTGTACAGTTGTAGGGAGTATTATCTGTTACATAAGGCTGAATTGTTGTACAGTTGTAGGGAGTATTATCTGTTACATAAGGCTGAGTTGTTGTACAGTTGTAGGGAGTATTATCTGTTACATAAGGCTGAATTGTTGTACAAATTGTAGGGAGTATTATCTATTATAACGAGTTCATCTGTGCTTCATGGATCACACTGTGCCACGGTACACCAGTGGGGGGCAGTGTTCTGAGCCGTACAGCGCTCAGGGATCTTGGTCTAGTCTTGGTCAGGACCACTTCAGCTGGAGGATTTGACCTTTAGGCTCTACTCCTGTTTACGTCACAAACCAGGAAGATGTTTGAAAATTTCCTTTGGGCTCTGTTCGTGGTTGTAAATCTGTCAAAATCTAGGAAAAATGAGAAAACAGAACAGTCTGGACTCTTGTAGTTTTAACACAGCTGAGTCTTGGTGTGTTCGCTCAGTTGTGATCAGACCTTCTTTAAACCGGAGTGCAGGGCACATACTGTTCCTGTAGACCTGGTTGAGTTCTAATTCAGTCCAAATCATTTTGCGCTCATGTGCATTCTTCCAATTTATAAACTATTCCTGGTCCAACTGAAGCCCTTTAAAGCGAGTCTCCCATGGCCACATTATCAGGCAGTGGTGGCGTCATAACGAGCCGCTGGGACCCGTCGTGAGCCCAGAGGGATCTACAGGGGCCCGAGAGGGACAATTACACTCTCATTAGACATTCCAATCAAAGCACGGCTCAAGAGGCCATTCTATATTACTGCTGCTCTCACATAACATCCCCCTTGGCCCCTCTGACCCTCCTCTGCCCCCTCTGATCCTCCTCTGCCCTCTCTGACTCTCCTCATGGATCTATAATAAAAACTGGATAAGACACTCCTGCTCTGTCCGACTCGTGGCTACTCCAAGTGAAGTGAAGCTCTTCACAGATGAATGTGCGGAAGCCGAGGGGACTCACAACATACGTACATATGTCACAAAGAAACTTTACAGATCACGACTCATTCACTCCACACTCTGTGGTGGGAAACTACTATTTTAGCCACAGCTGCCCTGAGGCAGATTGACAAAAGCAACGTTGCCAAACAGCGCCATCGGTCCCTCCGACCACCATCATCACTCACACACCACTGTCATACTAGGCAATGTGTGTTAAGTGCCTTGCCTAAGGACACAACAACAGTTTTTACCACTGCCACCCCCCTGTGGCTCCTGATTGTCCCACTGTCTCCCGTCCAAGTCCTGAGCTTCTGAGATCTGACGGGATCAGGCTTTGACAGGACGGTGTGGCCGCTCCAGGTACTGCAGCTCCCGGGAACTTGGGCACATCAAGATTTCCCCCACAGAAGCACAAAGTATTTTTTGTGAATTCAAACTGCCCATGTTCAGACAGGACATCGACAACTTTCACAAAGGTTGGATTTTGTAGGGATTCTTTTCTATTTTCACAATATAAACATTTTAAAATGTTTAAACCTCAAAGTGCCTAAAATTTAGGTTTGTCAGACTGAGCCTCGCCGCTCTGATCCACTCCAGCAACTCTCACTCTGATTGGTCCAAGAGCTCCACGCCGTGCACAGATGCTCCACGCCGTGCACGTTACAGACGTCAAACGGGTGGGAGAGAGAGAAAATTATTTTTGGGCCAATGAGCCAATAAGCACAGGCCACTGAAAACAACACAACGCCATCTTAGATTAATTTTCTATATTTTATTATAGTTTTATGCCCTCCTCTGCACCATCTGACCCTCCTCAGTACCCTCTAACCCTCCTCTAACCCTCCTCTGACCCTCTGATCCTCCTCTGACCCTCTGATGGTCCTCTGACCCTCCTCTGACCCTCCTCTGCACTCCCTGATCCTCTCCCTTGCATTTTGTACTCCTGTCTGCTCCTGCCTGCTCCTGTCAGCTCTTATCTGCTCCTCTGGCTTTGTTCCTGCCTGCTCCTGCCTGCTCCTGTCTGCTCCTATCTGCTCCTGTCTGCTCCTGTCTGCTCCTGTCTGCTCCTGTCTGCTCCTGTCTGCTCCTGTCTGCTCCTGTCAGCTCCTGCCTTCTCCTGTCTTTTCCTGTCTGCTCCTGTCTAACCATCCGAAGCGTCTCCTGAGCGTGTCCCGTGTCCTTCTCTGGGCTCCGTTGTTCTGGCTCTCGCTGGGAGCTGCTTGTCGCGTTTGTGGATTATAACATTTGTGCTTTCAGCAGCTGTAAATCCGGATGACCTCAGCGGATCCACGTGGGGCCGGTCTTAGTCCTGGTTTAGTTCTGGTTCTGGCCCCGGTCTTTGCGAGTCCAGACCTGGTGATGACAGAAGAGCAGCGAGTCTGTGCACACCTCAGGATTAAAAACACAGCCAAAATAGATTCAGGGGAGTCGTTACAATCTGAAGAGTTAGACCTGGATCATAACTGGACTGCAACAGGACCTGAGCCAGACCAAGACCAGACCGGGATCAGAGCCAGACCAGGACCACAGCCAGACCAAGACCAGACTGGGATCAGAGCCAGACCAAGACCAGACCGGGACTATAGCCAGACCAGGCCCACAGCCAGACCAAGACCAGATCAGAACCAGACCAGGACCAGACCGGGACCAGACCGGGACCAGAGCCAGAGCAAAACCAGACTGGGACCAGATCCAGACTAGGACCGGAGCCAGTCAAGGACCAGACTTGGTCTAGATCTGGACTGTGATAGGAGGTTTCATTTGAATGTTTTTGTGAGATTTCAAAATAATGTCCATAAAATAAAATTTTAAAAAATCTAAGAAATTATGTGCAAATTTGTAATTTGGACTAAACCAGGACTAGGTCAGAAGTAAACTAGGACTAAACCAGGACTAATCCAGGACTGAACCAGGACTAGAGACTGCCTCAAGACCTCTGGTCTGGGTGTAGGTTTCTTCACGTCCCAAAGCAGAGGTGCTAATCCCCACACTGATGGATGAAGGACTGGACCTCCGACTAAACCTGCTCCTAATGAGGACTAGATCTAAACCTGGACTAAATCCTGTCTAAACCTTGACTACAACAGGTCTAAACTAGGACTAAGACAGGTAAACCTGGACAGGCTGGACTAAAACACTAAAACAGTAACACTAAAACCAAAACTAAAACCTGGAATAAAACAGGTCTAAACAAGGTCTAAACCTGGATTAAAACAGGTCTAAACTAGGACTAAAACAGGTCTAAATCTGGACTAAAATACATCTAAACTAGGACTAAAACAGGTCTAAATTTGTATTAAAACAGATCTAAACTAGGACTAAAACAGGTCTAAACTAGGACTAAAACAGGTCTAAACTAGGACTAAAACAGGTCTAAACCTGGACTAAAACAGGTCTAAATTAGGACTAAAACAGGTCTAAACTTGTATTAAAACAGGTCTAAACCTGGATTAAAACAGGTCTAAACTAGGACTAAAACAGGTCTAAACTAGGACTAAAACAGGTCTAAACTAGGACTAAAACAGGTCTAAACTAGGACTAAAACAGGTCTAAACTAGGACTAAAACAGGTCTAAACTAGGACTAAAACAGGTCTAAACTGGACTAAAACAGGTCTAAACTAGGACTAAAACAGGTCTAAACCTGGACTAAAACAGGTCTAAACTAGGACTAAAACAGGTCTAAACTTGTATTAAAACAGGTCTAAACCTGGACTAAAACAGGTCTAAACTAGGACTAAAACAGGTCTAAACCTGGACTAAAACAGGTCTAAACTAGGACTAAAACAGGTCTAAACTTGTATTAAAACAGGTCTAAACCTGGACTAAAACAGGTCTAAACCTGTATTAAAAGAGGTCTTAACAAGGTCTAAACCTGGACTAAACAGAACTAATCAAGGTCTAAACTAGGACTAAACCAAGTCTAAACCAGATCTTAACAAGGTCTACGCACAGAATAAATAAGGGCTGAACCAAATCTAAACCAAAACTATGGCAGGACTAAAACAGTACTAAACAGGGTCTGACAGGTTTAACCCAGAGAGACTGATCAAATCGGGTCAAATGCAGAGGACACATTTACGTACGGGAACAGGAAAGTGCAAATCAGTCAAAACATTAATAGATTCTCTCTGGGTGAGTTTGGTCCAGGTTTATGGTCTTGGTTAAGGAACTGTGTGTAAGAATTATATTTTAAATTCCATAAACATGTTTCAAAATATGAGGTAAACACGTTCGTATCACTTTTCCTGACAATAAATGCAATGCTGATCTGATTAGAATTTACAGTTTTGGTTCTTAAGATAATTCTCCCATCAGAACGCAGAACGAGCTTCACTCTTTTGGGTTACCAGGTTCAGTGTTGATTTAATTTTAATTTTAATGTTAATGTGTCAGGTTCTGTCTACGATCTAATGAAAGCGAATCTCCAAATATTCTACCTGAAGGAATAACACTCATCCCAAAAAGATCTCCCAGAATAGCGCTTCGTAAAAACAGTTATTTAAGATGTTTTTCTTGAGAAGTGTCGGGTCCAGGTTTGGTCCTGGCTTGGTCCGGGTCCCGCAGCTGTCGACACTTAATCCTGGTTCTGATCCCAACTAAATCCTGGTTAAGTCCGGCTGAGATCCTTTTCTGCTGAACGGACTCAAGAGCAATTTTACTGTCCCACAAAGTCCACCTGTGAACACGTGTCTGCGGACCTCTGCAGACACTTCACCTGTCCGTGTCTCTGTGTGTGTGTGTGTGTGTGTGTGTGCGTGGACAGGGACTCTTCACCTGTCTGTGTGTGTGTGTGGACAGGTACACCTCACCTGTCCGTGTCTTTGTGGTTTCAGGTTGAGGGGAGAGTGGTTGGTTCGGTTGGAGGCTCGAAACAAACATCTGAAAACGCTGAACGACAACTTCTTGAAGAAACCCAAGACAGAATCCACGGACCAGAACCAGACCTGAACCGGGACTAGACCAGGACTATGCCAAGATTAGACCAAGACCAGACCAGGAGTAGACCAGGACTAGATTAGAATTAAACCTGCACTAAACCAGGACTAAACGTGCACTAAACTTGGGCTAAATCAGGACGAAACATGGACTAAACCGGGACTAAATCAGGACTAAACCAGGACTAAACCAGGACTAACCCAGATGGATGTGTGTAAGTGTATTGTAAGTCCCCTGTAAAGGACTTGAGTTGGTTTCTTGTATGTCATAGTGGAGATTCATGTTGATTAAACGCTGTAATTTCTCTAAATAAATAAAAAAATGCTTTGTGACACTTGATTTCTTTTTTCTCATTGGTCGACAGAAGCGTAATCTGCCTAGCAACAAAACAACCAGCCAAAAAAAAAAGCCTATAAAAACTTAAGATTGATTTCACTGAAGCTCTTACATGCACTTTCAGAATAAAACATAAAATATTTTCAGAATAAAAGCCAAATTCAAAACTATAGAGCTAATATTTACATTTAAATGAAAGTTTATGCTGCACTTTACTATGAAAACAGTGAAAGTGACCATGTTATGTTCACTGTGTATCTCTGGTGAAAGGTGCGCCACCTGCTTGTCACCATGGAGATTTTATTGCTTTGAATATTCCACATTATGACTTTAAACATACCGTATCTACTATATCTTCCATTTATTCCGTTAAACGTGATTTCTTTGCTGTAAACTACTTTGAAAAACGTTGGGGGTAGGGGGGCTCACCGCTCCACAGACCTGACCTGTAGCTCGGTCTGGTGTCGTCGCCTGCTTGTTGCCATGGAGATGGATAATGCTATACTGCGGAACATTCCAGAGAGAGGAGGAGAGCGAGCAGGTAAATAATAATAAACAAAAGCGTTATAGACAGTTGTAGATTTTCCAGATTGTTTTTATTTATTGGCAATTTACATGCTTTTATTAGCAACAATACATTTAATACTACTACTACTACTACTACTACTACTAATAATAATAATAATAATAAACTTAATAACAGAACAGAACAAGGTCAGACAAAACAAGTATGTGAGGAGCAGTCGTGTGTGGGTTACAGTCTCTGAGGAAAAGCTGATTTTGGAGCAGTTTTTCATTTCGTTTTGAAGGCAATTTGAAATAATTTCAACATAATTTGATTTACATTTGAATGACTGCACAACTCACGCATAATTTACTGAGAAAGTGGCACCTAAGGACACGCGTACAACATTTTAAACGATTCTAACGACACACTACCACCAAGAGGTCACATCAGGAACTACAGGTGGAACTGACAGACAACATTTACATCACTTTTACAACTTTTTTTTTTATTGTTACCTTCTCAAAAACATATCTGGAGTTGTGTTTTGTTTCATTTACACCTATCATTAGTCTGTCTACATCTCCAAAGCTCAAAATACTCTAGAAAGAACTAAAATGTGGCTGTTTGCTGCAGGTGTTCCAATCAGTGGGAGCAGGTAGAGGACGCTCTCGGAAAAAGGATCAAAACTCAAACACAACAGGACTCCAGACATTCCAAAGAAGAAAAAAAAAAAAAGGTAAAAATCACACGAGGAAAAATATAGTAAAAGGCCAAAGCCAACATGTTTCGACCTTAACTGGTCTTCATCAGGGCTTAATTAAAAAACAGAGCCTGGACATGGACTTTAAGTACAACACACCAACCAATAGTAGACTGGAGTTGATTGGAGGCAAATAAAACACGTGCACAATCAGCAGCACAGGACGTGGCACAGGCAAAAAAATATATGTATACACAATACCCATATTTAAATGCGCATAGGCATTCACACTAATATAATGAAGAAAAAAAAAACATAAAACAACAACAACATTATTATCATCATAATACAGCCTACAGTGGTCATAAATGTAACATTTATAAAAAAAAAAAAAAAAGGACAGATCAAAGTCCTCATTCAAACCTGGATGCTCACATGCTCTTAGTTTATGAATCCAGAAAGCTTCTCTTTGATTTAATTTCTGAAGTCTGTCTCCACCTCTTGCCAGTAGTTTCACATGTTCAGTACCTTCAGTGTGAAGCAGAGTGTCATTGCTATTATGATTTTCACAAAAATGGTGAACGATTGGGTAGTCCTGGTCCTTAACCCTAATCACATATTTGTGCTCGGCTAAGCGATCTCTCAAAATGCTCTGTTACACCTTGGGAGGTCATGAAGTGGTAGTTTTCGGGTTAACGGCTACATTTTACCTTTAGTTCAGCAGAGATGGGCAATTCCAGGGCTGAAATTGTCGAAATGATTCTATTGAAAGTGTATGGAGTTTAAAAACACAATAATATTTCCTGGTTTACCACATGACATCACAAGGTGGAGAGAAGAACTTTGGATTTATGTGTTAAAGATAGACTGAAAAGTAACAGTCTTAAAGAAATGTAAATGGATAATGTACACTGCAATATGTAAAAAATCATTTATATAAACCATATACAGAAAAATTACAGACTAACTTGTAAAGCTGTACAGAAAAATGCTTTAGGAAAATATGGAAATCTCCAAACTTCTGATCCACAAACTTTATCACATTTATTTGAATTTGCATTAATGTTCACTGAGTTTAAACTATGCTATAATAAATAGCTCATTGTTAACTAAGTTGTATTTTCAATGATTTCTACATGTTTGTTTAATCGTTTATTGTCGTGCATTTGAGGCTTAAGCGCTGAGAAAATTCCAGTTTTCACCTACCCCCTATCCCCACTAGTCAGGCTGGTGCCACCTAGTGTCTCCACTCAATTTCATTTCTCTCCAGCGACTAAATCAGGAATCAAAATACACTTAGACAGTTCGCAAAAACCCCTAAAGTGCCATACATTCAGTATTGTCAACGATTCCTGAGATTGAGGATTTAAAGCCGAAACAAAAAGAATGTTTAGTGAATTTCATCAAGAGGAAAGACGTTATTGTCCTTCTTCCTACGGGATTCGGGAAAAGCTTAATATACCAGTTAGACCCGTTAGTGGCGCATTACATATGTCACGACCAAATAGCAGCGATTGGTTAAATAAAAAAAGTACCTGCCTACTGTTGAGCGAACGAATCCTAATGCTGCGAGGTCAGATGGTTTCTACGAAGTGAAACCGGCTGATGAATCAGGGTATATCCTCACTGCTCTGAGCTGTTGAACTTGAGGACTCAGAAGTATATCAGTTGAATATTTGCAAGGTGAATTTTTCATTTAGAATTTTGAGAAAAATGAGAAAAGCAGGTTGCAAATGTGCAAAATGTAAGGTACATTATGGTAAAAACAAACAAACATAATAATAAAAAATCTGAATGATGATCTAAATGATTTCTTGTGTCTCGTCTCGTGAAAAGTCTGTCTCGCCTCAGCCCTAACAAACGTGTGTGGATTAAATCTGTTTAAAGTGCACAGGAGCCATGTGTTGGCTCCACAGTGTGATCTGAAGCTAAGCCTCTTGTGGTCAGTGGAGCGGTTTTACACAAATTCTGTCCTGAAGTAAATATCCAACATGCTAGTCTGCTCCTCGGACTCACAGCCAAAAATCGAATGAACTGCGTCGTGACCAAGGGACTTCATCTGCTTCCATCATATCAAATACATCATATTCCATCATATCAAATGCACTCGGCATCCTCCTGAGCGGCTCTCCACGACGCTCGCACAGAGACACTGACACACGGTGGTTTAGGCTCAACCCAAGAAACAGTGGCTCTGTGAATGTGGAGCAGAACGTGTGGAGATGGGACAGTTTTCCATCAGAAAGAACTCGATAGAAGGACAAAGAACCTGCCTCTGAGTCCAGGAACACGCCCACTCTACCTGAAGGGCTGAAGGGGCTGTGGGGGAGGGAGGAGCTGTGGGGGATGACGAGACTTCGTTTGTCATTGTGATAAAATGAGAATCTGTCAACACAAACCCTCAGACTCCAGAACTCAGAATAACTTCCAAAAATCCTGTCTTCTCTGTGCACTTGACCCTTGTAACCCACTGCTATAACAGCACAATCATCAATGGTTGCATACTTAAATCTCCTAGAACCATGTACCTTCCTTTCGGCACACTCCCAATCCACCTCCCAGTAACAGCGCCCGGTCAGTCCCGTGGAACACAACACAATGTGTTCTGAGTGAGAATCTTGTTTATGCATCATTTGTCTTTTGTCAGCCGAAGGATCACTCAGAAATCGACGATTCTTCTTAAAGCTGTACAGAAGTGTCACGTTCTTGCAGTCTTCAGATATTCTGAGTATTGGGTCTGGAATATCTCGATCCAGAGTGAGCTCACAGAAATCTGAGCAACAACAGACAAATGAGGTGACTTTAGTCAATTTTTGTTTTTAGAAATAAAATAAAAAAAACATAGAATGAAGTTAAGTAAAAATTTAACTCACACTTCTTCAGTCCAGGGACCATCCAACGTTCACCTGCAGGATCCAACCTGAAACACACAAAACTCTCTCACAAATGGACTGCAGGGGGCAGTGTGGTCTCACCTGACAGACTGCAGGGGGCAGTGTGGTCTCACCTGACAGACTGCAGGGGGCAGTGTGGTCTCACCTGACAGACAGCAGGGGGCAGTGTGGTCTCACCTGACAGACTGCAGGGGGCAGTGTGGTCTCACCTGACAGACTGCAGGGGGCAGTGTGGTCTCACCTGACAGACAGCAGGGGGTGTGGTCTCACCTGACAGACAGCAGGGGGCAGTGTGGTCTCACCTGACAGACAGCAGGGGCAGTGTGGTCTCACCTGACAGACAGCAGGGGGCGTTGGTCCCGTAGAGCGGTCAGGAGCTCTGCTGAGGGTCCTGGATGGTTGTAGCTCAGGTCTAACTCTCTGAGGTGGGAGGCGGCGGAGCTCAGAGCTGAGGCCAGAGCGGCCCCGCCCCTCTCTGAGACCAGACATCCAGACAGCCTAAAGACACAGAATTACACTCATGTGGACACAAGGGGGCAGAGTGCGCCATGAAAGACTCTCACCTGAGTGTCTCCAGTCTGCAGGGGGTGCGCTTGAGTCCATCACACAGCAGCTTCACTCCTAAGTCCTGGAGGTCGTTGTGACTGAGATCCAGATGTGTGAGACTGGAGGAGCTGAGGACTGAGGCCAGAGGAGCACAGCTGTCAGGGGACAGGCCACAGCCAGAGAGACTGAGGACAGAGGAAGTAAGGAAGTAAGTTTTTATCTAAATAGCACTTTTCACAGACTTATGTCACAAAGACGCGTTACAGATGGGACATAATGACTATTGCCATGTGTTAAGATCCAGGATTCAAGGACGGGGCGGCAGTAGCTCAGTTGGTAGAGCATTCGCCCACTCGAATCCAGCTCTCGACATAAACATCACAGGTTGAGCGGTCAGATCCACTGACCCACAGGTTGGCTGGTGTGATTCCAGCTCCCACAGATGAATGCTGTTGTTGTGTCCTTGGGCAAGACACTTAACCCACCTTGCCCACAGTGTCTGCGTACACTGGTGTGTGAATGTGTGTGTGAATGGGTGAGTGGTTCCGTGTTGTAAAGTGCTTTGAGTGACTTGAAGGTGGAAAAGCGCTATAGAAAAATGTGACCATTTACCATGTGACTAATTGTCATTGTTACAGTGAAATGACAAAGAATTAAACAGAAAGTGTGGCTTTGGTGCAAACATTAGTGTGTTTCATAAAGTGCAGATACTAAAATGTAAACATATAAACTACTGTAAACTAAGAATGCAACAACTTGTCACAGTAGAAATATCACCATAAGTCAGTGTAAGTGTATGGGCTGATAAATCTGCTGTTGTCTGAGGGCTTCACAAAGAACGATACCTTAAATACCTTAAATAGAGAATATGAATAATACTGATGATTAATGAACTTGGTTTAAAGGGCTTCATGGCACCTGCCACTATTATTTAGTATTACAACAAAAATAACAAAAACCTGAACACTATTGCAAAAAAAAAAAAATTCTTCCTGCTTTCATGTATTGCATATGATAAGTTGTGTAAGTTGTGAATACACTAAGAGTATAAAGAGTAGGGATGTAACGATATCCAAATTTCTTGGTACAATATTTTCACAATACATCACAATACGATATTTATTGTGATATTTGGTGGAGGTTAACAAAACTGTGAATATGCTACTTTTTCTCTTAAATGCACTGAAACGGAGCCAAGGATCATGGTTTATCTTGTTCCCACCATAACTATTCATAAATCATTAAGTGAAGAGACTTGTAATTCGATATAGAGTGATGGTCTGCGATATTATTGTGAGGCTATTGACAATACAATATCACAATATTTTGGTTATTTTTACATACTTAATAAAGAGGGGTGCAAGTTCTTTGCTCTTGGGAGTTTGGAGGAGATCTGAGCACCACAGAAATCTATTTTTTATCATGGATGAATTTATGAATTTTGAAATTGGATGATAAAGACTTGACATTGAATTCAAAAATGCAAGCGTGAATATTTTTAGAAGTAATTAGTATTAAAAACTGTTCATTCTATTCGATAAGTTTCACATTGTGTCAATAACCTCCCAGCAGAAAAGGAGATGCTATTTAAACTGTTTGTGTGATAAAAATATTGTATATTATTGATTATTTTACTTACATGGATTTGGTGGAGGATTTAACGCTCAGCAGTAGCTTCAGGAGAGCTTCTTCTGAGCCACCGTTTCTCCTCAGGTCAAACTCATCCCAGCCTGAGGACAGTAAGAGAAAGGACCTCTCAAAGAGATGTCCCTCTGTCATGTATCTCGGTATCTCCACAAGACTGTGGTCGTTCAGCTCGTTCAGACAGTGGAGCAGGTTCAGGTTTGCCTGTGCAGACAAACCCTTTTCATTCATCTTCTGTTTGATGTAATGTACTGTCTCCTGATTGGTCCATTCACTTCCTGTCTGAGTCAGCAGACCATGCAGCAGCCTCTGATTGGTCGGCAGAGACAGCCCCAGGAGGAAACGCAGGAACAGGTCCAAGTGTCCGTTTGGACTCTGTAAGGCCTGGTCTACAGCAGAGCAGTAGAATTCTGCCTCTCTTGTTGGCATTTTGAACAATCCAAGATGCATCATCCTAAGTTTTGATCCAAGCCTCTCAGAGGAGTGTGGTGGCTTCAGCAGGTTCTCTCCAGAGCTGAAGAAGGTCTGATGGACGTGAAGAGCAGCCAGAAACTCCTGCACACTCAGATGGATGAAGCAGTAGACCTTATCCTGGTACAGGCCTGGCTCCTCTCTAAAGACCTGTGTGAACACTCCGGAGTACACTGAGGCCGCTGCAGCGTCCAGCCCACACTCGCTCAGGTCACTCTCGTAGAAGATCCGGTTTCCTTTCTGCAGCTGCTCAAAGGCCAGTTTCCCCAGAGACCGCACCATCTCCCTGGTCTCTGGAATCCAGTGAAGGTCTGGCCCTGATCCCTGGTGATACTTGATGTTCTTGACTTTAGCCTGCACGACCAGGAAGTGGACATACACCTGTGTGAGAGTCCGAGGCAGCTCTGGTTTCTCTGTTTGTTCCAGAAGCTTCTGTAGAACTGTGGAGAGGATCCAGCAGAAGACTGGGATGCTGCACATGATGTGGAGGCATCTGTTTGCTTTGATGTGGGAGATGATAACTGTGGCCTGGTCTCTAAACCTCTTCCTGAAGTACTGCTCCTTCTGCGGGTTGGTGAACCCTCTGACCTCTGTCACCATGGAGACGCACTCAGCAGGGATCTGATTGGCCGCGGCGGGGCGCGTGGTTATCCAGAGGCGAGCGGAGGGAAGCAGGCTCCCCCTGATGAGGTTCACCAGCAGCACGTGCACTGAGGTGGACTCTGTGGGGTCGGTCAGGACCCGGGTTTGGCTGAAGTCCAGCGGAAGTCTGCACTCGTCCAGACCGTCAAAGATGAACAGCGCGCGGAGATGTTGGAAGCTGCAGAGACCTTTGGATGGACTGAAGAAGTGGTGCAGCAGCTCCACCAGGCTGAACTGTGAGTCTCTGAGCACATTGAGCTCTCTGAAAGTGAACGGGAACAGCAGATGAAAGTCCTGATGGGCCCGGCCTTCAGCCCAGTCCAGACTGAACTTCTGAGTCAGCACTGTTTTCCCCACGCCGGCCACACCCGTCGTCAACACAAATCTGACTGGCTGTGGTGGTTGTGGGTGGGCTCTAAAGAGGTCTTCACATGGGACGGTGATCTCTGGAGTGGCCGGTCTGCTGGACATGGCCTCCATGTGTCTTACCTCATGTTCCTGGTTGACCTCTGAGGCTCCGCCCTCTGTGATGTAGAGTTCTGTATAAATCTGGGTCAGGGAGGCGGAGTCTCCTGCTTTAGCCACGCCCTCAAACACACGGCTGTACCTCTGCAGCAGATTCACCTTCAGTTTATCTTTGCAAACTCCAAAACTTCCTGAAAACAAACACAAAAAATTATTACATAAAGATTTACCTTTTGTAAATCACCAAATCAGTGGCTAAGGTAATCCTGTGTGAAGGAAATTCATTCATGCTGCACACTGTTTCTTCAACTCTACTGGCGCGCTGCTGGTCATCCAATGACTGCATGCATCCAAGGACGAGCCGGTCCCAGGTCCCAATCATTCCAAGCACTTTGGAAGGAAGTTCCTCAAGCAGTCCGCTTTGGACCCCTCAGGGTTCTCGCGGTTCTGTTCTGTACCGGCCCTATGAACACGAGACTTATGGGCCTCTGATTTCCACTGCCTGTGTTTGGCAGGCAGATTTACCAACCAATCTGCTCTATAGTCCTTTCAAACTCTTCTCTGACTCCAGTGCATCCAGAACTCTGCCGCCCACCTCCTCATGTGAACACATCACCTCAGTCCTTAGAGACCTCCACCGGCTGCCCACCCCCAGCACAGCCCACATGGACGTGTTTTCTCTCCTCTCCTGCCCTTATCTCTTCTCTGCTTTGCCTCTCTGTCTCGTCTAGCGTTTTATACTTTTGAGAGACTCTCTCCGCTCTGCTCTCTGAACATAAATTAACTATGGATTTGATAAGTTGATCTCTAAATGCAACTGACACCATTTTCTCAACAAGAAACTCAGGCTCGGACGAACCTGGGTGCCCCCCCCCGGAACTTTCATGGTGGGCTACACGATGGACGACTGGATCCAGATGTCTGCCTGTCTATGTTGGTTCAACTCCACCCCCCCACCCTCCCCAGTCGCAAGTCTAGTCATAGCGCCTGTACTGTGTTTTGACTGTGTGCTGATGTCGTGGAGGTGTTTTGTGTGTGTGTGTGTGTGCTGTTTCCATATTAAGCCCCGTCAGGAGCATGGTCTGGGGGCTGTTTTTCTCCTCCCCCCTATCCTCATGTTATGTTGTGGTGTTTCTTCCTCTGCTACCTGTCTTCCGGTCCTGTCCATGTCTAGTACCCCCATGTTATATGTGTTTATAAATGCACAGATGGAGTGACAGGTCCCATTTTGATTCCTTTGTGCATGTGAAGAAATTGATACATAAATGCATTCATTCATACATTTCTAGTGCCTCATCATTCTGTATAAGTCCCTCCATAGCCATAACACTGTAAATATCAAAAGTATAAAGGTATAAAATGTATAAAGGTACACTGTCTAAACCAGACTTCCATGAGTTTGTCTCCAGTAGGTTAAACTACTGTAATGGCTTTCTCACTGGTCTCTTCAAATGAGTTGTAAGACAACTGCGGTATATCCAGAAAGCTGCTGGGTTAGCTCCACCTAAAACACCTCCGTGACCTCAGCATGCACACCCCCACACTCACATGCACACAGTTGGCTCTTCTCTTTTAAAGCTCACCTACTCTGCAAAATGCACTTTTCAGAGCCTCGAACCATGTTATGGTAGTTTCTTCACATTGACCCTCAGAAGTTTTAATTGGAGTAACTCGTGCATCTTTGAGTCATGTTTAATCGTTTATTTTCAAGACGCCATATTTGACTGATCAACTGCTAGCTCCACCGGTACACGCCCACTTCGCTGTACTTACTACATTCTCCAGTTTTATTTTCTTAATCAGTGATAGTAGAAAGTCCCATGAGATTGTTGTCTCTGATGCTTCCAGGCACCTTACGCCGGCAGCTCTGTTCTGGGAGGAGGCCTGAGTCGTATTTTAACCCTTTATTTTAGGTGTCTCTTGAGTGTAGTTTATGTCTCCTGTAAATCTTTAGGAACTAGCTCCATATTCACAAGTGGAACTCAAACAGGGCCACCCTGACCAATCACAGCAAGAGTAGCTAGAGCAGAGTGAACCGAAACTAACAAAGCTGTTTTTAAGAAGACAACTGAAGGATTTTTTGCTGAGAAAAGGTTTATGAGCTGTGAATAAGCCAAAATCACCACAAAATCCAAACTTCGTGAAAACTGTAGGTCCCTGTCAGCCAAACGCGAGCAGTGAAATTACATTGGGCTCTGTGGAAGAAAAAAAATTCTAGGCCACAGAAGATTTTTTTTCACTGTAGTAACAATGCACTGGCCGCTAGTCCAATTCATGAGCTATACCCTAGTTCAATATGATAAGAGATCCCAGCAGTCTGCTCCTGAGGCTCTGTTTCATCAGCTGATGGAGAAGCTGTGATGTTTATATGAAGATGATTTTTATGGTTACAGTTTCACAGAGCAGAGCGTGTCTCTTCTGCCTAAAACTAAATAGCACCACTTATAATGGAAGTACATAGTCAAATGGTATTATCATTGTTATTGATATAAGCATATTTAGTTTATATTTAGTGGGGACTAATGGAAAAGGCATGTTACTGTTTAGCAGGCGCTGGGCCAGATGCTCCTGGTTCATCCTCTTCAGGAAGTCCAGGGTGATGTTAAGAACCGCCTCTCTGCTGCTCAGTTCCTCTTCTTCAACCTCGGAGAATTCTGGGTAATCTGAGGCCAGTAGCCTGTGGAGCCTTTGCAGCTGCTGTTGGACAAAACTCAGGACCTGCTGCTCCAGAATCTGTAACAGAGAGAACAATGAGCCCAACAGACCAGATAAGGTTTATCTGAGCACAATTTATACACACCATGCTGATTATGAGTAAATAAACCATGTGACCTGTGACCTGACTGTAGTGAGCTGTGTGTCCATGAATGAGTGTACTTCTAGTGCAGGGTGTTAGCTCTAACCTGCCTCACAGCTAGGGGGCCCTACAGCTCCTTTTACACTTGTCACATGCCTGGATGTTATGAGAGAGTCACTGTTTTTGCAGTGCACAAGAACATGGTGGTGACTGAATAAATCTGCCTGAACTAAACCTAGAGTTATTATTTATACTAACACAGGGCTGTGGAGTAAATGAGGAGTTACAGACTGGGCTTGAGCATTCATATAAAAATAAGGAAATACAATCACAACTGAACCTGTGTTGCCAGTGTCTTATCCTGCAGATAAATGACACATACTAGTACAAGTCTGTCTCATTCTCAGTTTATGGACAAGCCTCATGTGAAAGCTCAGAACCTTCAGAATTCCCTCCCTGAGCTGCAGAGGCTGCACTAGCACTGGTTCATGACTGGCAGCAGGTGCTGGGGTTTAGGCAGTGACCAAAATGCACTGGACGCCTCTAGTTGGACACCTTTGCATTTGTGTTTAGACGCCCCTGACGCTCATCTTGAATGCCACGGATGAACGGGAGAAAAATACTTGATGTGCGTCCAGAGCGTCTGTTGCCATGGAAACAACTGCCGTTTCCTGGACAGACCAGGCTGAGAGAGACTTTAGAGTATTTATCACATAAAACCATCAGCGCAGGTGATCAGCTTGACGGCTGCGGTGTATATATATTTATACTCTGCTAATGACACTAGTTAAGTCCTGGTTTAGTCCTGGTCCAGTCCTGGTTTAGTCCTGGTCCAGTCCTGGTCCAGTCCTGGTTTAGTCCTGGTTTAGTCCTGAACATAGGAAAGGGCAGACTTACCCTGAATATGGCATCCAGTTCAGTGAGAGTAGGCCCTCCCTTTAGGCTCTCATCTCTGAACAAATCACAAACATTAAATATTAAAAACACCAAACACAAAATAAGGCAGAAATTACTTAACATAATTGAAACATAGTTAGAATGGCAATATATTGAGGTCAGTGTTTAGTTTCCAGTGGTGGATCATTTTGTTCTTTTTCTGACTGATTGTTATTTAAAGACACAGTACGTATGAGTATGAGGTGAGGGACGACATTACGAGGACAGAGGACCACTTAATGGAGACCCATGGGTGTTTGTTTGTTGTGTTTGTTGTGTCTGTGCTTACAGTGGAGCTGGTAGTTCACTGAAGACAGGAGGCAGACCTTTAGAGTCATTACTCTTCAACGACAATGTAGAACTGTAAAATAAAAAAAGGTTCATGGTGTATCTGACATGTATAATCCTGTTCTTTAAGGTGCACACTGTCTGTGTCCAGTAAACACTTTTTAACTATGCTATAATCCCTAAATGAAACATAAGATGCATCTGCAGTTTAAGCATAGTCACCTCTCCGATTTAGCCAGGTTATGTCACCTGCTTGTCTCTATGGAGATTATTATTATTATATTTCCCTGAGGGCTGAATACATTCACACAGATGAACCACCATTCTGAGTCTATTAAAACTTCTCTGACAGTTTACTACAGCTTTAATGAAATACATTTTAAGAACACAACACATAAAAATGTCCTACAGTCCCCAGAAAACTTGGCAAACTACCCAACTGTGACATGAAACTGTCAGAGGGATGTAAAGAACCTGCCATGTTTAAGCAGAAGAAAGTAGAAATCCAGTAAAAGAGGTAGAGCAGTGTAAGTATGAGATGAGTGAGGACATTAGGAGGACAGGGGGACACCTAATGGACACCCATGAGAACTGATGTTTGATCTTACGGTGGTTCTCTGAAGACTGGAGGCAGACCTTTAGAGTCATCACTCTTCAAGGTCAATGTAGACCTATAAAATAAAAATGGTTCAACATTCCGTGTGTGTGTCCAGTAAGTAAACATTTTTTCTAAATATACTATATTCTGTAAATTTGAAAAACAAATGAAATGAAATACAGTCTCCACAGAACAGACCTGTGAACTGGGCCAGGTTATGTCACCTGCTTGTCTCCATGGAGAAGGTAAAGTTTAATGCTGTACAGTGAAACATTCCAGATAAAGCTATAACATCTCTATGGAAATGTTTAGTAATTTGATTAGCTTTGTCAGACTTTGATTTCTAATTTTCTTGGATGGAAATCAGATTTCCAAGTACCACCAGATCTAAACACCTAATGGACACCCATGGGTACTGAAACATTCCAGATAAACCTCTAACATCTCTATGGAAACAAGCAGGAACCAAACCCTTCAACAGAAAAGTTACACAGTGCACCTTTTCAAAAAAACATAAAAAAAAAGTGTTGCTTTTATGTAAGAATTTTTACACAAGGTTTTCAAAACCTACACTTTTTGTCTGGTGCCATAACACAGTTATAGCATTAGAAATAACCATAAACTGCAGGTCCTACTCAAATGTTAGTCTCATTGTTTTTACCGTGGGTCAATGAAATCACTGAAAACTGGGGGCAGTCCTTTGGAGTCATCACTCCTCACAGACTCTGCTGATCGTCTCCTGGAACATAACACAGAGGTCAGGCTAAAGCAAACACTGACTACAGACACATGCACACTCAAACTCTGACTATTCTCTGATTTTGATGTTATAAAATGACAACAACAAAATCATCTGATTTCTTTCTGATCATGACCCCTCAGATCAGATTTAGCAGATTTTAAATAATCTTAAAGATCCTGAAATCAGATAATAATCAGATTTCGGTGTGTATGTGAACAAGGCCACTGATCAAACCTACAGCTCTTTACATATTTATAACAGAGGAACAACAAAAACTCTCTGCACCGACTAAAGCAGCAGGGGACGCTCCAGAGCCTAGTGTCGACACAATATTCAAATTCTACACTTAATGTTGTTACTACCAATGTAGATAGTACAAGGATTTAAATATTCCTTACTACTCCAGGCCATTTCTTTAAAAAGTTTCCTTTAAAAGCAGACCAGAGGCTAATCTGCATGATAATACTAAAAATAGGAACAATACAGTATGTTTATCAAGCTTCATTTTTTGTTGTTGTTTTTTTCCAATAAAATTTGATTAGCTTTGTCAGACTTTGATTTCTAATTTTCTTGGATGGAAATCAGATTTCCAAGTACCACCAGATCTAAACCAGGTCTACAACAGGACTATTCCAAACCTGAAGAGCTTCACTTCTGAGAGGTCAAGATCAAGCAATGTAGCAAAAAAACAATAATATCTGAAAATATCAGAAATGTTATGTGCTAGAAATAACCTTAACTACAGGTCCTACTCAAATGTTTAGTCTCATTGTTTTTACCATGGGTCAATGAAATCACTGAAAACTGGGGGCAGTCCTTTGGAGTCATCACTCCTCACAGACTCTGCTGATCGTCTCCTGGAACATAACACAGAGGTCAGGTTAAAGCAAACACTGACTACAGACACATGCACACTCAAACTCTGACTATTCTCTGATTTTGAAGTTATAAAATTATGAAAATGACAACAGTAAAATCATCTGATTTCTTTCTGATCATGACCCCTCAGATCACATTTAGCAGATTTTAAATAATCTTAAAGATCCTGAAATCAGACAATAATCAGATTTCGGTGTGTATGTGAACAAGGCCACTGATCAAACCTACAGCTCTTTACATATTTATAACAGAGGAACAACAAAAACTCTCTGCACTGACTAAAGCAGCATGTCAAACATGCACACAAGCACGTGAGGACCATACAAGACATTGAGAAACATTCTGAGTTGCAGAAATTACATTTTGGCAAAATGGACTGGACACATCATTATTTTACTTTGATTTTCCGAGTGTCTATAAAATGAAGCCCTCTGTATGCTGAAAATATTACTTCCATAAAAAGAGGTGACATTCCTTTGTTCCTAAGACACTGTCCTGTCCATATTTGTATAAATATCCAGCATATTTTTTCACATTGAAATCTGATGTGTTTTAATATTGTTCCTTTAATTTTTTTTGCAGTACATATTTATACAGTCTATTATTCAGACGTGAAAGCTTGTTGTATTTCCCATTTTGAGTCTTAAAACTTCTCTGAGCAGTTTACTACAGCTTTAATGAAATATGTTTTAAGACCACAACACATAAAAATGTCCTACAGCCCCCCAAAAACTCTTGGCAATCTACCTAACCACAACATGAAACTGTCAGAGGGATGTAAAGAATCTGCCACGTTTAAGCAGGAGAAAGTAGAAATCCAGTAAAAGAGGTAGAGCAGTGTAGTGTAAGTATGAGATGAGTGAGGACATTAGGAGGACAGGAGGACACCCATGGGTACTGAAACATTCCAGATAAACCTCTAACATCTCTATGGAAACAAGCAGGAACCAAACCCTTCAACAGAAAAGTTACACAGTGCACCTTTTCAAAAAAACATTAAAAAAAAGTGTTGCTTTTATGTAAGAATTTTTACACAAGGTTTTCAAAACCTACACTTTTTGTCTGGTGCCATAACACAGTTACAGCATTAGAAATAACCATAAACTGCAGGTCCTACTCAAATGTTTAGTCTCATTGTTTTTACCGTGGGTCAATGAAATCACTGAAAACTGGGGGCAGTCCTTTGGAGTCATCACTCCTCACAGACTCTGCTGATCGTCTCCTGGAACATAACACAGAGGTCAGGCTAAAGCAAACACTGACTACAGACACATGCACACTCAAAATCTGACTATTCTCTGATTTTGATGTTATAAAATGACAACAACAAAATCATCTGATTTCTTTCTGATCATGACCCCTCAGATCAGATTTAGCAGATTTTAAATAATCTTAAAGATCCTGAAATCAGATAATAATCAGATTTCGGTGTGTATGTGAACAAGGCCACTGATCAAACCTACAGCTCTTTACATATTTATAACAGAGGAACAGCAAAAACTCTCTGCACCGACTAAAGCAGCAGGGGACGCTCCAGAGCCTAGTGTCGACACAATATTCAAATTCTACACTTAATGTTGTTACTACCAATGTAGATAGTACAAGGATTTAAATATTCCTTACTACTCCAGGCCATTTCTTTAAAAGTTTCCTTTAAAAGCAGACCAGAGGCTAATCTGCATGATAATACTAAAAATAGGAACAATACAGTATGTTTATCAAGCTTCAGTTTTTTTTTTTTTTTTTTTCCAATAAAATTTGATTAGCTTTGTCAGACTTTGATTTCTAATTTTCTTGGATGGAAATCAGATTTCCAAGTACCACCAGATCTAAACCAGGTCTACAACAGGACTATTCCAAACCTGAAGAGCTTCACTTCTGAGAGGTCAAGATCAAGCAATGTAGCAAAAAAACAATAATATTTGAAAATATCAGAAATGTTACGTGTGCTAGAAATAACCTTAACTACAGGTCCTACTCAAATGTTTAGTCTCATTGTTTTTACCGTGGGTCAATGAATTCACTGAAAACTGGGGGCAGTCCTTTGGAGTCATCACTCCTCACAGACTCTGCTGATCGTCTCCTGGAACATAACACAGAGGTCAGGTTAAAGCAAACACTGACTACAGACACATGCACACTCAAACTCTGACTATTCTCTGATTTTGAAGTTATAAAAATTATGAAAATGACAACAGTAAAATCATCTGATTTCTTTCTGATCATGACCCCTCAGATCACATTTAGCAGATTTTAAATAATCTTAAAGATCCTGAAATCAGACAATAATCAGATTTCGGTGTGTATGTGAACAAAGCCACTGATCAAACCTACAGCTCTTTACATATTTATAACAGAGGAACAACAAAAACTCTCTGCACTGACTAAAGCAGCATGTCAAACATGCACACAAGCACGTGAGGACCATACAAGACATTGAGAAACATTCTGAGTTGCAGAAATTACATTTTGGCAAAATGGACTGGACACATCATTATTTTACTTTGATTTTCTGAGTGTCTATGAAATGAAGCCCTCTGTATGCTGAAAATATTACTTCCATTAAAAGAGGTGACATTCTTTTGTTCCTAAGACACTGTCCTGTCCATATTTGTATAAATATCCAGCATATTTTTTCACATTGAAATCTGATGTGTTTTAATATTGTTCCTTTAATTTTTTTTAACAGTACATATTTATACAGTCTATGATTCAGACGTGAAAGCTTGTTGTATTTCCCATTTTGAGTCTTAAAACTTCTCTGAGCAGTTTACTACAGCTTTAATGAAATATGTTTTAAGACCACAACACATAAAAATGTCCTACAGCCCCCCAAAAACTCTTGGCAATCTACCTAACCACAACATGAAACTGTCAGAGGGATGTAAAGAATCTGCCACGTTTAAGCAGGAGAAAGTAGAAATCCAGTAAAAGAGGTAGAGCAGTGTAAGTATGAGATGAGTGAGGACATTAGGAGGACAGGAGGACACCCATGGGTACTGAAACATTCCAGATAAACCTCTAACATCTCTATGGAAACAAGCAGGAACCAAACCCTTCAACAGAAAAGTTACACAGTGCACCTTTTCAAAAAAACATTAAAAAAAAAGTGTTGCTTTTATGTAAGAATTTTTACACAAGGTTTTCAAAACCTACACTTTTTGTCTGGTGCCATAACACAGTTACAGCATTAGAAATAACCATAAACTGCAGGTCCTACTCAAATGTTAGTCTCATTGTTTTTACCGTGGGTCAATGAAATCACTGAAAACTGGGGGCAGTCCTTTGGAGTCATCACTCCTCACAGACTCTGCTGATCGTCTCCTGGAACATAACACAGAGGTCAGGCTAAAGCAAACACTGACTACAGACACATGCACACTCAAAATCTGACTATTCTCTGATTTTGAAGTTATAAAATTATGAAAATGACAACAGCAAAATCATCTGATTTCTTTCTGATCATGACCCCTCAGATCAGATTTAGCAGATTTTAAATAATCTTAAAGATCCTGAAATCAGATAATAATCAGATTTCGGTGTGTATGTGAACAAAGCCACTGATCAAACCTACAGCTCTTTACATATTTATAACAGAGGAACAACAAAAACTCTCTGCACCGACTAAAGCAGCAGGGGACGCTCCAGAGCCTAGTGTCGACACAATATTCAAATTCTACACTTAATGTTGTTACTACCAATGTAGATAGTACAAGGATTTAAATATTCCTTACTACTCCAGGCCATTTCTTTAAAAAGTTTCCTTTAAAAGCAGACCAGAGGCTAATCTGCATGATAATACTAAAAATAGGAACAATACAGTATGTTTATCAAGCTTCAGTTTTTTTTTTTTTTTTTTCCAATAAAATTTGATTAGCTTTGTCAAATTTTGATTTCTAATTTTCTTGGATGGAAATCAGATTTCTAAGTACCACCAGATCTAAACCAGGTCTACAACAGGACTATTCCAAACCTGAAGATCTTAGAATATTAGAAATGTTACGTGCTAGAAATAACCTTAACTACAGGTCCTACTCAAATGTTTAGTCTCATTGTTTTTACCGTGGGTCAATGAAATCACTGAAAACTGGGGGCAGTCCTTTGGAGTCATCACTCCTCACAGACTCTGCTGATTGTCTCCTGGAACATAACACAGAGGTCAGGCTAAAGTGAACACTGGCTATGGACACATGCACAAAATGCCTTTTCAGTTTTTTCCAGGCAAGGATTTTGGCATCTTAAACACACCTGCTGTTTAAATCCTAAACTGAATTTTGTTACTTGTTGTTAGGAAAACAACAAGGTGTTTGTTGAAAATACAAAAAAATGTGAAACAATGTGAACAGTGTGTGTTTGTCATGTTACAGATACATGTTTTCCAATAAAATCTGATTAGTTTATATCAGTTTCATTTCTAATCTTCTTGGATGTATTTGAGACTTGTACTTCTGGAACCAGAGGTGTTCAGCTCTGTAGCAACGTAGCAATATTCTGAACTTACTTTTTATTTGAATCCATTTCCTTTCAGCACGTGACAGTGTATGAAGTCCTATAAAAAACAACAGAATATCTTTAGAATAGTCAGCCACCCAAGTGAGGAAACAAACAAGCACGTGTTTCGCAATAAAGATGGCGTGAGGCGTGCAATCTTATTCTAAAGGTAAGGGTTGTCTAGCCAATCAGCGAAGACACTGTTGGTCACCAGCCAATCAGAGACCGTGGTTCCCCTGCGCCCTGCCAAAAATAAAGTCTTATTGGACACAACATATGTTTTTTGATCAGGGATGTGCATGATTATAGAGGAGCAGCAACATGTGTGCATATTTATTTTCGGTTCTTTTCTCTCATGAATTCTGGTGCTCGTACTTGGTTTTAGCCACGCATTAAGAGGTCTGCTACCCTTAGCTGCTTCCTGGCGCTCATTCTCCTTCCTTTTCTGTATCCTTCCTGTTTTTGGTAGAGTGCTGCAGGCATAATCAACAAGATTCAAGTTTCAAACACAGATAACCCACAGCTTATATCCAGAGAATTTAAATTACTATATTATTTTTCATTTCATTTTATTTATTTTATTTGTTTGAGCCAGGTACAACAAAATTCAAAAACAATAATAAAAACAGTGATATGGACATGAACATATTTGGGACCTGGTGCTCAAAAGGAGTAGGATGAAGTTTAAAAAACTAATGGATTCCTACCCCAATTGTTTTACATAATCACGTGTTTTTTTTTTTTAATATCACCTTTGGAGTGCTTACAAAAATATATCCACACATACATACATACATATGCATGTACACACACTTATACACACACATATGTACATACATACATACATATACGCATCATAGATATCTAGTACGTATACTCAATATAAATGTTTATACACATATGCATAACACACATATACATACATGCACAAACATATTTTCGTTTATGGTTGTACAATAATTATTATTATGATTGTGATTATTATTACTTTATTTTACAGACTCGGGGTCCAAACTGTACACAGACACACACCCACAATACACTACATTCATATATAAACCCACCAGCACACACACACACACACACACACACACACACACACACACACACACACACACACACAAACAACCTACAGTTACGTAAGGTCAGATAGAATTAAAATACATACAGCTGGCTCTTCCAACATTTCTAGATGTCAGTAATATTATTGGTTGTCACTTTAACCTACACATAAATTTATACGTGAGGTTCCTCGTTAGAGCCTGGAACATGGGAATATTTGCAGTAACAAACAAAGCACTCGCACTTTCCCACCTTGGAGTCTTTAGAGAGCATCATTAAATGGCACCTTAATCTTATTCATCTTTGCTTTGCTGTAATTTATTATTATTATTATTATTATTATTATGTTAGTAGTAGCAGAGTCACAGTACATTTTATATCTAAACCTCAGACCTGTACTTCAGACCTGTAGTGAGGCCTTTATTGTCATTATAGAATAGCATAACGAAATTCAGAGAAATTCCTATCGGTTGTAGCGAATATTAAAGTCAATTTTACGTACAAGATGCAAAAACACACACACAAAAATCATAAAAAAGGAGCAGACATACTGAAGCCGCTGCGTCTTTGCGCGCCGTTTTATTTTGTATTAAACACACGATTTCCTGTCCCGCTGTTGTTGTGCAGTGTCACGTGATGTGCACTGAGTGAAATGACGCGTGTAATGTAGGTAAATCGAGAACAATGTAAACAAGAAGTAGGAACAGAATGTTATGAACGTTCAGCCTTAGATTTTTGAAGCTGCCACGTTATGGAAATGGGTGGAGCATGACATGGTTAAACGGTGTTAAATGTTTGTGATTTCATAACATAGCGTCTCATCACTTGTATAATAATCAGACGGTATCTCAAACGTGTGATCTACTTTATAATGTGGTGTCAAATACTGTGGTGAATTTTTTGTCAAAGAAAAGTAACAAACACAAGCGGTGAGTGAACTCAGAAATAAATGTAACTCAAATAATCACTTTTGAGCACCATGGGTTTGTGGTTTACGCAGTGACAAAAAAACAAAAAACAAACAAATCAATACACCTGCTGCCTCTCCTGTCGACTGGTGAAAACCATAAACCCACCCAAGTGTCCACTGGTCTACGTGGCCCACCCTCTTTTATCCCCTAGGTGACCCAGATTAAAAGAAAAACAAAAAAGGTGCTAACGTAAATAATATCAACGTATACCAATACCAAACATAATATTAACAATAAAATAATAAACACATTTTAGAATCAACAAAATAAGCAAATAGCTCCTAGAAATACAAATTATAAGTGTAGTTTTTCTGAACACTGCAAGTGCGCAGTCCGACCTCAGCCTCGTGAAGGGGAGTCCGAGAGGATCGAGAGGAGTAAGAAAAATGTATCGACGTCACCATAATCACAACCCACAAGCAGACCCGACACACGCGGGACAGTGAGCAGGGCACGGAAGGGCAAAAACAATAAAACCCTGGCTAAAGTTACTCACTGCGTCATTGCAGCAGTCTTACAAAATGGACTCTCGTCTTTTGTGAAGTTACTTTCGCTTTCGTTTTACATCACGTGCAAACCCTTCCTCTCTCCCTCCTCGTTCCTCCCGTAGTCGTCACAATCACAAGGCTGTGTAAAATATGAATGGAATTAATTTGTTTTGTAAAAGCATCATCCTCTTTTAGAGCTGTAATTTGTTTATTACATAGAATCAGCATCAGAGGTGGTAATGCAGCCAAAAATGCACTTATGTAATAAATCTAAATCTATCTATTTATCTGTCTGTCACTTAAGTAGAAGTTCAAAGTAGTAGTCCAAGTAAATAAGAGTAAAAAGATTGGGAAAAGTACTACTCAAGTAAGATAGCTGTTTTTTTTTGTTTTGGTTTGGTTTTTTTGAGTGAATACTTTTGCACATTCTGCTTCTTCAGTTCTGGTCAGACACTGGTGAACACTGCCTTAAATATGTTTGAAGGAGGAGCTAGCTGCACTGAAACAGCACCGTATTTGTTAAGAGTTTCTGTCTGTGAGCAAAGTTAATCATCTCCAGTTTAACTTTCACTTGTATCTCTACATCAGCAGCGGTGGAGACATCAAGGAGGAGACTACTGCAGGATACTGAGCTAGAAGAGAGGACCAAACTTTCACCTTTAGGCCAACTGCTGGAAATGTGTTTATTCAGTTCAGAGGAAACTTCTACAGGCAAATCCACAGCTGTGCCCTGGGCTCACTGCTCTCTCCTATCATTGCAAACTTGTATATGAGCCTGGTCAAGCAGAAGTAAACAGCAAGGCCAAAAATTCAAGTTAATGCATCTGATATAAAAATGTATTGAACAGATACATATGTACTCTAGTTTATGAAACTGTTTAACTTTTTTCTGTAACATTTTTGGTTCTAAAGTTCCATCCGTTTTAAACAGACCATGTATGAAACATGGAACAAAAATTATTTCCCAAATTTCAAAGACCTGCAAATCATGTAAATAAATTTCATCATATCTTGTGTTATTCGATCTTTGAACTGCTGATGAAGGTACAGGATTTTAAAAAAAAAAATGTATTTAAAATGATAAAAATTTGCTTGGAAGAACTGACATATTTTATAGAAATAGTTTCCTTTCATTTTGAAGTAATATTAAAGTATTCAGAAGAAAGAAGTTGACAAATTATGTAAAATCCTGCACCTTCTACTTGTTTGCACAATTTTCCCTCCGTTACTTTTCCCTCCGTTACCATGACCTTTCTTAATAAAAAATCTCATTACTCAAAAAGTAAGAGGTTTTTCAACCTAATCTTGTACCATATGGTAGAAAACTATATGAAGCAAATATTCAAACCAGTTTGTTAAGGATATGTAAGTGAGAACCAAGAGTTATCACTGTTTGTATTTATTGCCCAAAAAGTGCTGCATATTTCATTCCCTCCGTTACCGACATGAGTTTTTTAAATTTTTTGTCAACAACTTGAAAGAATATCACAGGTTTAACTTTACCCTGTTAGAGTGTTAACTCTTTCCTACATTCTGATACCTTACTTATTTCAATAGTCCCTCTAGTTTCTGAATAAGAGACATTTGAATGTAAAAAATCTGACCCTGTTTCCCTCCGTTACATCTTGACCGGACCCATATGGAACAATTTGAACAGAGTGCCTTGGCCTCTTATCCAGGAACTCCACCCACACATTGGTATCGTTTATGTTGATGATAACTTTTATAAAATGAAAATGCACGATTTGAAACCTTTTACAGCTGCTGTAGATCCAAACATCAAATTCACTCATGGAGACGCCAAGGAGAAAACATTGGCTTTCTTAGATCTTGCAGTAACGACAGAAGAAGACCAGCGACTCCAGGAGGTCTTCAGGAAGTCCACACACACTGACCAATACCAGCTTTTTGATTCACACCATCTACTGCAGTGCCCACTTAGTGCAGTTCAACACACCTATCTAACAAACAAAAACTGTAAACGAGTAGGTGTTAGTTTCAGAGTAATTTCAGTGTGTTTCAATCAAACTTTTGTCCAATTCACTGAATCAGATTTCTCCTTTGCTATGGATCCTACCCGGGAGACTGAGGGATTTCACGAACACTCAAATATTCAGGACGTACCATCTGATTTATAGCGAATGTAATTTGAAGAACAAAACATGAAATAGAATCAAATTTCCAAAGGACAGACACAAAAATGAGACAAACAAAATCATATCTGAAGAAGTGGTGCAAGAAACAGAAAAGTTCAAATCGTTTCATATTGTCAATTTTTTACTCACAGTGGGACGAGGAACCACAGCTTTTAGACAAGTAAAAGTACTGTTACTTCAATAAAAATATTACTCAAGCAGGAGTAAAGTCTGCTGCTGGAAAAGTATTCCGAAAAGTACAATTTCTTTCAAAGGTTACTCGAGTAAATGTAACTGAGTACTTACCTAACATTTGAATTTGTTGGTATAAAACATAAATTAAGGAATTGTCGAGCACATATATTATTTCAGATAAGTATCAGTTTATATACTCTGTTATCATAATAAATAATACAACCGTTTTTAAGTACCGATAGCAAAAACATTAAAACATTTGCATTTAAACATTAAAATTGCTCATTCATAGTACGTTTGTCTTCAATAATGGAATATATTGAAACGTAAACTCAGTGAATAACCCTGTTTTACTGCTGCTACACTCGGGTATTACATTTCTACGGGGTATTAACATTTAAATCACCACGTTACCTCTTATTGTTTTGAAAATGGGTGGGACGTTTTCATGTTCTTCCCGTGCCTGTGTAGCCTACCACTAAAAACACTTACAATATGGGGCCAGGACTCTCCTCAAAAAGAGATTCTTAATGTCTGGTTAAATAAAGTATTAATAAAATAAACAACAAATGCTATAATCGCTAAAAACAACATATTCAAATTGTTAATTGTTTCAGTTTCTTTTTTGACGCTGAGCACCGCCTCCTTTTACTCTCCATGTTAAGTCACTCCCCTGCGTGTACAGTTTTCTATTATGTTTTTGTATATTTATGGAGAATTGTTGTATAAGAGCATGGGTGATGTAGAGCTGTGGGCGGGGCCGAGCACAGAATATTACAGCTAAACGTGAGGAGGGTTTGAATAGGGCGAGGGAGAGATTGCTAAATTACTCAAACAACCATGGATGAAAACGTCTTCAGGCAAGTTTTTGATGAGGGAACAGCATTATAATATGGTAGAAAGCTAAAAATATATATATATATTTTACATAATAATCCGTGTATTATTCGCTTATTTGTTTTTTCAGAATAAAACCAAAAGTAAGAAAATAAAAAAAGCAACTATTTTGTTCAAAATTTGTCTCCAAAACTAAGATGAAAAAACAGATAACGATTTGTTTTTTCAGTTTTCGCTTTTGTGTTTAAAAAAAAAAATTGGAAAAAAATGGGTAACGGCCGTTTACGTGACGTAAACTGTGATGCGGGACTTTTGCGCCGCATATGGACTGAACCAGGACTGAGCAGTTTTTCAGTCCTGGTCTGGTCCCAGTCTGAGTCCAGGTTTCCGTCCCGGTCTGGTCCCAGTTTGGTCCCGGTTTCAGTCCTGGTCTGGTCCTGGTTTCAGTCCCAGTCTCAGTCCTGGTCTGGTCCCAGTTTGGTCCCGATCTCAGTCCTGGTCTGGTCCCGGTCTCAGTCCCAGTCTCAGTCCCGATCTCAGTCCTGGTCTGATCCCGCTTTGGTCCCGGTCTCAGTCCTGGTGTCAGTCCCGGTCTGGTCGGACCTGATTCAGTCCTGGTTCAGTCCAGCATCACAGTTTAAGTCACGTAAACGGCCGTTATCCGTTGTTTCCATTTTTCATTTAAACACAAAATCGAAAACTGAAAAACGAATCATTATCCGTTTTCTCATTTTGGTTTTGGAGACAAATAATGAAGAAAATTGTTGTTCTTTTCGTTTTCTTATTTTTGGTTTTATACTGAAAAACGAGTGAACGAATGATACACAGATTCATAATACCCTCTCTTTAAGCTTCAGTGATGATATTAAAGTGGAGTCGACTCATAGGCTACGTTCAGACTGCAGCCTGAAGTGACCCAAATCCGATTTTTTCGCTTTTATGCTCCTGTATCTGATCTTTTAATGACAGTCTGAACGACACAGATCCAATTTTTGTTTCAGATGTGACTCAGGACACTTGGATATGTGTTCCTAAAACCGATACATATCTGATCTTTTGACATGCGACTTCAGTCTGAACGGGCAGGTCACATTCACCCCACCTACACGTCAGGCTCGGAGTCCAGTCAACGGAGAAAAAGCGAGGTTAGAGAGTTTATTAATATTTGGGGGGATCGCTGTATTCAGGCAAAATTGGAGGATTTAAATGATTGTCAAAGAAATGTCCGAGCATGGCTACAGACGGTCCTGGCTCCAATGTCAACGAAAAATAAAGAGCCTACGAATCAATTACAAGGAGACTAAAGATCCTAACAAACGAAGCGGCCATGGACATATAACCTGAACATTTTACCAAGAACTGGACCATATTTTGTTAAGGCGACTTCCGTAAACACTGAACACGCTCGCGTTGTGTGACGTCGTCGTGTCCTCCAGTGCACATGTGGGACACTTTTGGGGCGTTTTATTTAATTTAAACATTTAATTGGAAACGTGAAAAAAAATCTGATTTCACAAAAAAAATCAGTATTGAGCATTAAGCCCTGCAGTCTGAACGTAGCCATAGTTTCCTCGACTGGTACAGTACAAATACATACAACAGTATTCATGCACTCATAGTACAAGCTGTGCAGTGGTCCATAGGGGGCGCTCTCTTCTGTACATGCTGTGCAGTGGTCTGTATAGTCCATAGGGGGCGCTCTCCTCAGTACAGGCTGTGCAGTGGGAGGATGGCTGTGTTTTTGAGCTTCAGCAGCAGCTTGTCCTTTAGTTCAATGCTCTGGATTTCGTACCAAATGTATCGAGGATTCTCAATCTGAAAAAGAGAAAATATCAGGTACAAGAAAATGAGTTAAGTCTGGTTTTAATCCTGTTTAGTCCTGGTTATTTAGTTTCAGTTTTGTCCAAATATCTCGGGGTTGGGGTCTTGTTCTCGAGTGAGGGGAGCATGGAGCGTGAGATTGACAGGTGGATCGGTGCAGCGTCGGCAGTGATGTGGTCGCTGTATCGGACCATTGTGGTGAAGAGGGAGCTGAGCTGAAAGGCGAAGCTCTCGATTTACTGGTCAGTCTTCGTTCCTACTCTCACCTATGGTCATGAGCTCTGGGTAATGACCGAAAGGACGAGATCGCGGATACAAGAGAACGAAATTAGTTTCCTCCACAGGGTGTCTGGGAGCTCCCTTAGAGATAGAGTGAGGAGCTCAGTCACACGGGAGGAGCTCGGAGTAGAGCTGCTGCTCCTCCACATTAAGAGGAGCAGCTGAGGCTCGGGCATCTGCTCCGGATCACTCCTGGACGTTTCACTCAGGGGGTGTTCCGGGCATGTCCCACCGGGAGGAGGCCCCGGGGAAGACCCAGGACACGCTGGAGGGACTATGCTTCTGAGCTGGCCTGGGAACACCTCAGGGTCCCCCCCAGAGGAGATGAAGGACATGTCTGGGAGTCCCTGCTTAGACTGCTGCCCCCGCGACCTGGCCCCGGATAAGTGGAAGAAAATGGATGGATGGATGAATATTTAGTTTCAAGTTGAGTTTTTAAACTTCTCTCAAGAATGGGAGGGCATCTTGTTTGTTTTTAAAGCTTTGAATGGACTGGCCCCACAGTACGTCTCGGACCTCCTCCAAATTTACATCCCAGCGTGTGTTTTGAGGTCTGAAGGCCAGTTCTAGCTCGTGGGGCCTAAATCAAGACTTAAAACGAAGAGGAATAGTACCTTCTCTGCAGCTGGACTCAAAATCTAGAACGCTCTGCCCCCCCACGTCTGAAAAGCCCCACAGAGAGAGAGTTTTAAGTCTCACTTTTAAGAGTCTTACATTTTAAGACTCATTTTAAGACCCACTTTTATTCTCTGGCTTTTAACACTGAGTTGTGTGTCCTCTGTGTCTTTTATGTATTTTTAATTTTTAATTTTATTGGTTTTGTTTTGCTATTCTATGGTTTTTGCTCTTACTTTAATTTACTGGTTTTATTGTTTTCAGATTAGTATGATTAAAACTGAGCATTTATTTGATCATTTTATTACACTTGTTATTATTAAGTATTTGTGCAGCACTTTGGAAACAGTTTGTTCATGAAATGTGGTATAGAAATAAAGTGGATTGGATCGGATCAGACACACAGGAGGATGGTGCAGTGGTGGCTGTGACCTGCGGGGGGCGCTCTGTGTTGGCCGGGGGCAGTTTGAGTCCATCTTCGTCTCTTTGTGGTGGTTCGGGCACCAGCCTCACGAGTGTGTTCAGACAGACGCCGTCGCTGTGCCCGTTCTCGCGCCCGCTGTGCTGCAGGGACATCACGCCCACAGTGTTCACATCATGGTCGTAATAGGACGAGGGGAGGGCATCCTGCACAATCAGAAAAAGTTTGGTTGACTTTTGTTATTCATAAACAGGGAGTATTTTGATTATTATTAGGTACTGTAATAGTAATAATTGATCGTTTGCAGCTGCTCTCGTCAACATTCTAACTAAAAGCACTCAAAATCAAAAACCGGGACACTCTCAAATCCATGTATCATTTGTTCATTTGTTTTTCAAAATAAAACCAAAAATAAAAGAACGAGAAACAATTTTCTTCATTATCTGTCGCCAAAACCAAAATGAAAAAACGATAATGATTCTTTTTTTCAGTTTTCGATTTTGTGTTTAAATGAATAATGGGAAAAACGTTTCCCATTTCCGTAACTTAAACTGTGATGCCGGACTAAACCAGGACTGAACCAGGACTAAACCAGGACTGAACCAGGACTAAACAAGGACTGAACCAGGACAAAGCCAGGTCCGGGACCAGATCAGAACCAGACCAGGACTGAGACCAGGCTGAGACCGGGAACAGAACCGGGACTGAAAATGCTTTAGTCCTGTTTTAGTCCTGGTTCAGTCCTGGATTAGTCCTGTTTTAGTCCTGTTTTAGTCCTGGTTCAGTCCTGTTTTAGTCCTGTTTTAGTCCTGGTTCAGTCCTGTTTTAGTCCTGTTTTAGTCCTGGTTCAGTCCTGTTTCAGTCCTGGTTCAGTCCTGTTTTAGTCCTGGTTCAGTCCTGGTTTTAGTCCTGGTCCTGTTCAGTCCTGTTTTAGTCCTGTTTCCTGTTTCAGTCCTGGTTTAGTCCTGGGGTTCAGTCCTGGTTCAGTCCTGGTTTAGTCGGGGTTCAGTCCTGGTTCAGTCCTGTTTTAGTCCCGGTTTAGTCTCCAACACTCTGGCAAACAAATTAAAATTTATCCCTCTCTTTACTGTTGGTGGGTAATAATTTGGTCAAAAATAGGGACAACTGGGACATTTCTTGTATAAAATCAACTGGGACTGTCCCGGGTAAATAGAGACGTCTGGTCACACTATCCTAAACAGGACCATGAACGATCGTTTAGATAAAGTTAGTGCAGATAACTGAATCGTACCTGGACCACCATGCTGGCCCCCCACGAGATCGCATGAGTCCAGATTGCGGCAACGACAGGCAGGTGGGCAAAGGGCGCTGAGGAAGAGACAAGATTATGCAGGGATTAAAACCAGGACTAGACCAGGCCTAATACAGGGAATAAACCAGGACTAGAGCAGGACTAAAGCAGGATTAAACCACGTCTGAACCAGGACTAAACCAGGGCTAAACCAGGACAAATTAGGACTAAGATTGGGACTAAACCAGGATTATACAAGGTGAGAACCAGGACTAAACCAGGACTAAACCAGGACTGAACCAGGAGTGAACTAGGACTAAACTAGAACTGAACCAGGCCTAAACCAGGACTAAACCAGGGCTGAACCAGGACTAAACCAGGACTGAACCAAGACTGAACAGCGATTAATGACTAATGACTAATACAATGACTAAACCAGGATTCATCTAGGACTGAACTGAAGAATGAACCAGGACTGAAGCAGGTCTAACCTCTTAAGACCAGGACCCAGACTTGGTCCTTGGTGTTGGTGTAAAGCAGGACGGGTCTCTGGACCACGTGCTGACAGCTCAGGTCTATGGGCCGGACGGGAGGATAGGCAGGATCCCCACGGTACCTGAACGCAACACACACAGATACAAAAAAAAAACATTCACCATTTAAAACCAAAGAAAAAGTGACGTGTTAGAAAATGTCAGTGTGATTCATACATGATTTGTATTATTGACTCTGTAACTGTAAGCTTCCCCTCTGAGTGACACGGTGTTGGAGACTGCAGAGGGGAACCAGTGCCTGATATGTGGAGACATATTAATTAAGACTTTATATGTTAGGGTGAGCAAGCGTCCGTTTTTCCCCGGACATGTCTGTTTTTCACGTTCTGTCCTGGCCATCCGGGTTTTTTTTTTTTTAATAAAGTGATGCAAATGGCCGGGTTTTCATTATCTTTCATTGGGCCATTAAATTGAGCGGCTGTCATAGCTCTCTGCACTCAGAAGGAGCGAGCAGACACAAAAAGTCGGTCAGTCTGCAACATGCCGAATCGCAACTGCACATTTAACAATGACTTGTACAAGAAATTCCCCGCTTTTTGTCTTGGTCGGGACAAGTGGGAGGCCATATGCATAGTGTACAAAGCAGCACATATGTTTCAGTGTCCGGGGGGCTCAAAGCACCAGGACACCGAAAAACATTAAAAAGCTTTGCCAGGTGAGAGTAGCTCAATGTTAATGAGGAGGCCCCACCTCCCACCCCCCGTACAGGTGTCCTGGTTATGACAAATGGAAATATAGTCACCCTATTATATGTTTATCACAGGAATAAAGCAGACTGACTCTACACTGTGTCCTGTTCTTTGTATACGGCCTGACGAAGATTCCACAACATTATACATGACCCAGACCAAAATGACCACCAGCAGGCGTCATTGTGTAGTAGAAACTACCAGCCTGGCACAGCCATCCACAATTAAGTACTCTATCAACACATAATTCCTGACACATATTTGTTTATCGTTACTAGCTGTTCTTACTAGTGTCATTAACTAGTCTTTAACTGCACTATAGAACTGTGCACGTGCGTCGACTGTCACGGTTTGATCTCGAGCTTGTCAGGTGACAAAAACTCGGTGGCAAAAGTAAATACGTCATATAATTATTTAAATATAAATACGTCATATAAATGTAATTTTTTTATTGAAAAAAAATCAACAAAATATAAGATGCAGATGTCTTATTATCTTCCAAAAAGTAATTTTAAAATGACAATTTTTGAGGATTGACTCATAGGGGCAGTTCAAGTGATGGGGGCAAAGGGGCTGAGGGGCCGGTCAAAGAGGCATGGTGGGCCGTGGTAGTTTGAAGATCCCTGGTCTAGAATCTATCACAAGGGAGACAAGCAGATTACAGCTCTACGCTACCTTACAACTCCGATCTGTGGAGAGTCACCCCTATTCACAGAAGGAATTGTAGTATTTTTGAGCAACAGAAATACCTGTAATGAATAAATGTTTAATGTCATACAGTCCTGGTCCAGTCCTGGTTTAGTCCCTCTTTAGTCCTTCCTGTGCGTGACATGATGAGTGTTTTCAGTTTTGAGAGAGGAACTCAACCTAAATCTGCAGGGTCTGAGTTTTAAACATGTGAATGAAACAAAACACAACTCCAGGTCTGTTTGTGATGAGGAAAGAGGATTAGAACATGCTGTAGATCAGAAAACAGCGTGATGAACTGATAAACATGAGACGTACTTGAGGCCGGAGTCGATGAGGCGGAGGATGTCTCGGCCCCTCAGGTTCAGGGGGCTGTGTCTGTCCCACCAACAGGCCTGAAGAGACTCCTGATCAGCCCCGGACAGAGTCTTCAAGCGCCCCCCTGCACAGAACACAGATTTACACAATGCTTTTTATAAAGGCCGTTGAAAGAGCAAATTATTTAAACTTTATTACAACACTTAAATTACAATTCCAGGCACTTCAAATGCAGTATATGAACAACAAACATTCAGAACATTCCGAGTCTGTAATATTTTATGTCATTAAAGAAATATTTTTTAATAAATATATGAGCAAGGGACACTTCAGTATTTTGGGAGGTGAATAATGAAACAGGGGTGGGATGATTTAAAGGTGGAGGGTCCATCAGCGGCTTGTCTCCATGGAATTTTTATTGCTTTGTCTAGAATGTTCCACAGTATAAATTAAACCTGCAGCTCTAGAGCAGCATGTGGCTCTTTTATCCTTCTGTTGTGGCTCCCCGTGACTTTGGAAAATAAAAAATTTGTATTTAATTACAATGTATTTTTATTTTAGTTTGATCGCTTTTAAATGTAATTCTAAATTTGTAGATAATGGTAATCTTGTAACACTAAAATAAAAGTTTTTAATATTTATTGCTCAAAATATGCATCACACCCTACAGCAGGACAAAGCGTACAAAGGCCAAGATGAGCTCAAACTGAACCAAATCAGGACAAATTTGAACACACCCTAAGTAATAATGACAAAGTAATAAACTAGGCCTTTTAAAGCAGAGTCACTGGGTGAAGTCTGACCTGTGACTGAAGCCAGAAAAATGAATCTGATCCACTGAGGGCCCTGCTCCTGGATCAGCAGCAACGAGATGGGCTCACAGTCGAAGCCAGACTCCTCTTTGACCTGTGAGGGAGGGAGGAGGGGAGAGAGGGAAAGAGGGAGAGGGAGGAAGAAGGGAGGGGGCAGAGAAGGAGGCAGAGAAGGGACGGGGAGAGGAGGGAAAGACAAGGAGTGGGACAGAGGGGAGGGCACATTACAATAGTTTAGTTAAGTTAAGTTTAGTTTAGTTTATTTATTTAATGAGACAGAGACAGAGTACAATATACATTAACCTTAACAGGTGAGATTTTCCACCTGTCGTCTCTGGGCAGGTTGATGTTATAGTTCATAAAATCAAACATACAAAGAGAATGTCTTTATAATGACTGGAACATCATAACAATTCTGTAACATCATTCACACCCAGTTCTCTAAGCACCTTAAAATCCTCATCCTTTATCAGTATCATCATTCAGTTCATTCACTCCAGAACATCAGACTCTCTCCAGACACTCATCTGTTCACATTATGGGCGCAGGTTTGGTTTGAGAGGAGCCACTGTTTTGCCAGGCCAGAGAATGCGTTGTACTTTCTCCATATGACCATGGCCCATCAAGATCAAAATCAAATCGAGACCATCTTTGTCATTTTCGACACTTATTTGTATTTTACAGTTATTTTATATATCAATGTTTTTATAAATCTCTTTCCATTGTGTCACTCGTCGAGTGTCAGACCTCAAGACCAAGACAAAACCGAGTCCAAATGCAGTCAAGTCCAAGACCAAGACTGGTCTCAAGTACTACGACACTACTGTTACGCATAAGAAATAAGAAATATTGTAATGTGATGTTTTTTGTTTTTTAACTGAAGCACGTTCATGTTCATATTTCAATGCAAATATCCGGCTCTCACCTCTCTCTTGAGCGCCTCCTCCAGACTCTCTCCCACCTCTACACGACCGGCCGGCAGGTACCACTGTTTATAGCACTCAGACTTAGCCTCCTGCACCATCAGGACCTCCTCCTGGTGAACAAATAAATCAAATATAACAGATATAACAATACACATCCTCACAGAGGAAATAAGCCAGGATCAAACCCAGTCTAAACCAGATCTAAACCAGGCCTAAACTAGGACGCAATCAGATCTAAATCAGGTCTACCACTCAAATCTTTATTCACTAAACCTAACTATCTTATAAAAGGCAAGTAAAACTGTTACATCTGTTCTGCCTCTTTGACCTGTGAGGGCACACAATAATATTACCAGAAAGATGCTTTATAAACCCTAAATATGAATCAAAGGCATTTTCTGTTTTATTCACATTAAGAGTGAAGGAGATCAGATCTAAAACTAAGAAGTAAAACTAGGGGTGTGATCTTGGTTTAGTCCTGGCTTTGTCCATGTTTCGTTCCAGGTTTAGTTCTGGTTTCAAGTGTGTGAATGCTGCCCAAACCAAACAGGCCTAGAACATTATGCAGTACCTTGTCGTTGAAAATGACCGCACCCACGATGTAGGTGACGTTTTTCCGGAGTGTGGCCGGTTTACTCTGGTCCAAACCCACATCACAACCCGTCACCTCTGCCCCCTCTCCTTCAAGCAGCCTCTCCACCTGCTCCTCCAGCTCCTCCATCACCTCCATCACTGAAACAAAAAGAAAAAACACTTGAGGGTTTAGTTCAGCTTTAATGCTGCTTTAGTCCTGTTTTAGCCCTGGTTCAGTACTGATTTATCCTGTTTTAGTTCAAGCATAGTCCTGGTGCAGTCCTGCATTAGTCCTGGTTAAACCCTCATTTATTAAGTTAAGTTAGGGTGACCAGACGTTCCTATTTACTCGGTAAAGTCCCAGTTTTGAGCCCTGTGTCCCCTGTCCCAGCAGATTTATCCAAAACCAGTGATTTGTCCCAGTTTTATACACAAAATGTCCCAGGTGTCCCTATTTTTGACCAATCTCATACCTGTCAACAGTAAAGAGAGGCATAAATTGTCATTTGTTCAGTTAAAATATAGAAAAGATTCTTAAAAATGACCAAAACACAATGAAAATATAACTATACTGACTCACATTAGTGCCAAGTGCAGAACAGTTTTCCTTAATTACGCACTCGTTTCACAATTTTATTTATGCCAACCACTCTAAACCAGGGATGTTCAAGATTTGTATTTTGAAAATCTGGTCAAGTCCTAGTTTAGTCTTGGTTCAGCCCTTGTAGAATCCTGGTTGAGTCCTGTTTCAGTCCTTGTAGAATCCTGGTTTAGTCTTGGTTCAGTCCTTGTAGAATCCTGGTTTAGTCCTGTTTCAGAATTCTGGTTGAGTCCTGGTTCAAGTCTGATTTAGTCCTGTTTCCTGAACCAAACCTCCAATAATTAAGCCCTAAAGCTTAGTAAACATTAAGTAAACATCATATATAACACTATTCCTATTTAAAATTACTTTATTAAGTGGCCTGTACAAAAAGAGTCACAAAAAGCAAAACGTTTAAGGAAACAGTGGAAGTAAATGTCATGGGTAAGCAGTGTTGGGGAGTAACAGATTACATGTACCAGAGTTACGTAATCAGAGTTCAAATTATGAGTAACTGTATTCAGTTACAGTTACTGTTTCCATGAGTGGTAATTGGATTACAGTTACTTTGTTGAAATAAATGGATTACACGGTGGTATTTTCCTGTTTTCACATTTTGGGCTATATCCCTTTTTTTTTTTCCAGTAATTCCACTCATTGCTGTAAACTAAACGAGGTCTAAACTAGATCTAAACCAGGTCTAAACCAGGACTAAAACCAGGTCTAAACTAGATCTAAAACATGTCTAAAACAGGTCTAAAACCAGGACTAAATCAGGACAAACCAGGACTAAAACCAAGTCTAAACTAAATCTAAACTAGAGCTAAACCAGGACTAAAACCAGGTCTAAACTAGATCTAAATTAGTTCTAAACCAGGTCTAAACCAGGACTAAAACCAGGTCTAAACTAGATCTAAACTAGATCTAAAACAGGTCTAAAACAGGTCTAAAACCAGGACTAAATCAGGACTAAACCAGGAATACAACAGGTCTACACCAGGACTAAAACCGAGTCTAAACTAAATCTAAACTAGAGCTAAACCAGGACTAATACAGGACTAAAACCAGGTCTAAACTAGATCTAAACTAGATCTAAACCAGGTCTAAAACCAGGTCTAAACCAGGACTAAAACCAGGTCTAAACTAGATCTAAAACAGGTCTAAAACCAGGACTAAATCAGGACTAAACCAGGAATAAAACAGGTCTACACCAGGACTAAAACCGAGTCTAAACTAAATCTAAATTAGAGCTAAACCAGGACTAATACAGGACTAAAACCAGGTCTAATCTAGATCTAAACCAGGTCTAAAACCAGGACTAAACCAGGACTAAAACAGGACTAAAACAGGATTTAACCGTGTCTCCTCCTCTTCTATCAATAATATTTTTAATACGGTTAAGTAAAGACTGGGCTTTTTATTGTCTTTTATCAGACAAAACATCTTAGGTGAAGAAATCTGAGTCTTTGCGTCTCTACAGCAAATCAAGTAATCCAAAGTATTCAGATTACGTTACTCACTTTAAGTAATTTAATGGATTACGTTACAAACTACATTTTGGGGTATGTAATCTGTAATCTGTAGGGGAATACATTTTAAAAGTCACCTTCCCAACACTGTGGGTAAGTAACTAGTTATTATCCCTGAAAAGCCCTGTCAGTGGCCATTAGCAGATTAGCATGTTCTTCAAAACGACAGAAACATTCAACATCTGTGACATAAATTTATTTTATATGAAAGAACACTTTAAGTAGTATCTGTGAGTGTCATTCTGAGCTAATATAAACGCATTTTAACCCGAACCTGAGCGCTTTTTCCAGCTAATCCCCGCATCCACTGGGTTTGTTGTGATATTTGACGCTTACGTGCACAGGCGGAACTGCGTCATCACGTAAGCAAGCAAGACGTTCTATTTTTATTATTATTATTTTATTTTATTTTTTTTTTGTTATATATTAATATTCCTTAACAGTAGGGACTTAAATTGCATAAAGTGTTAAGCATTATAATAATAATAATGAATAACCCGGAAGTGTGTGTTTGGTGAATCGGCCGCTGCTTCCGCCGTTGGGTAAGGTCGTGTTTACATCAGACTCAAAGGACACACGTGAAGAGTTTTGGACTTAAACATCTGCTCGACACGGGCATTTATCCATCTATTTCACAAAGGTACCTTATATATATTTCCTTTGTTCTTTTCCCGAACTAAAGCAATAACATTTTGTGAGCTTGTCCATTCATTTTCACCCAAAACTACTCCTTTTGGTTTTATAATGCATCTATAATAGCTCACGATTTTCAGATTTTTTTGTGCCAAATTAAGTTAGGACATGAATTTATCCTTTATAACGAAGCAGTGCAACGAGGCAGTATTGTTCTTTCAATGAAAATACAAGAAATTATGACACCTCTAGTCTGTGGTGGTTGGTAATAATAAAATTGTTCAGCACTTGGACCATTCACGACTAATATGTGAGTCAGTTTAGTCACATTTTCTCTGTGTTTTGGCCATTTTTCAGCAGATTTTCTATATTTTACCTCAGCAAATGTCAATTTATGCCTCTCTTTAGAGATTCAGATTGGTCCAAAATAGGGACACCTGGGACATTTCTTGTATAAAACTGGGAAAAATCAATGGTTTTGGATAAATCTGCTGGGACAGGGGACACAGGGCTCAAAACTGGGGTTGTCCCTGGTCTGGTCACCTTATTCTTCCATCTTTAAATAGTTAACACCTCCTCATCTGTCCTTAAAAACATTAGTTCTTTCCTCCAGTATTGTCGCTTATTTTCTAGATATTTAATCTGTGAGCAGTTGTTTTTATCCTAGAATTGTTACTAGGTGCGTAATGATAAAAGAATGGGCTACAAAGTGTGATTTTGTGATGCCAGCGTGTAGTGTAACTTATTTTTAGACTGTTTAGACTGAATTTTAGACTTGGTCAGTTCACGTTTGCATAAACCATGGTCTTAACTTGGGCTAAATCTGGAACTGAACCTTGACTGACTAAACTGGGCTCAAGCCAAGACCAAAAATAGGTAGTGTATGTGCAAAAAATAACACAAAATAATACATTGGTTTCTGAGCCACCACAACAGCATAAGGAAAATTAAATGTATATTGCCAAATCCAAATTACTCATATTATTAAATTTTTTTATTAGAGGAGCCCCAGATATTTCCATAGATTTCCATAAGATGCCTTTTAACATTGTTTATCTTCTTTCTGTTTTAGCAGGTTCAAAATTGTTTGGTCACAATCACACCTGGAGCCGATAAACTACAGAACACCGTTTAAGGATGCTCTCTCTTCCTGTCTGCGTGAGAATTTCACAATAAGAGCCTTGTGCGTCTACCTCCACTGAACCATGTCCCGCCACAGTAAACTCCAGAAGCAGGTGCTCTCTCTGTATCGCCAGTTTCTCCGCGCGGGAAAGTCCAAACCAGGATTTGTCCCCAGGATTAAGGACGAATTCAAAGAAAATGCTAAAATCAAGAAATCCGACGTGATGCACATTGAGTATCTGTACAGGAGAGGACAGAGGCAGCTGGAGCAACTCAAAGACCACAACACCAAACAGCTGGGAACGTTCTCCAAGAAGAACGAAGAAAGCAGCTGACACAGACTGAGCCGGGGGAGAGGAAAACGGATTCAGATTTATCAGCCAGACTTCTCTGTGGTGCTTATATTTAAGGAGCAACGTAAAGCAACGTCTTTAAAATCATGGGACTAAGCAGCTAAACTCCACCCACAACTGCATTTTCATATAGTGCTACTAAACTGGGCAGTGCCTGGAGGACTAAAGGGGAGAGAGACAGAGGGGAGAGGGGGTCTGGAGGACTAAAGGGTCCTGGTTTATTCCTGGTTCAGTCCTCGTTTATTGGCCGGTTTATTCCTGGTTTAGTCCTGTTTCAGTCCTAGTTTAGTCCTGGCTTAGTCCTGGTTCAGTCCTGGTTCAGTCCTGGTTTCCTGGTTCAGTTGGTTTAGTCCTGATTCAGTCCTGGTTCAGTCCTAGTTCAGTCCTGGTTCAGTCCTGGCTTAGTCCTGGTTTATTCTAGGGTTATTCCTGGTTTAGTCCTGGTTCAGTCCTGGTTTAGTCCTGGTTCAGTCCTGTTTTGGTCCTGGTTCAGTCCTGTCTTAGTCCTGGTTCAGTTCTGGTTTAGTCCTGATTCAGTCCTGGTTTAGTCCTAGTTCAGTCCTGGTTCAGTCCTGGTTCAGTCCTGGCTTAGTCCTGGTTCAGTCCTGGTTCAGTCCTGTCTTAGTCCTGTCTTAGTCCTGGTTCAGTCCTGGTTCAGTCCTGGCTTAGTCCGGGTTCAGCCCTGGTTCAGCCCTGGTTCAGTCCTGGTTCAGTCCTGGTTCAGTCCTGGTTCAGTCCTGTCTTAGTCCTGTCTTAGTCCTGGTTCAGTCCTGGTTCAGTCCTGGTTCAGTCCTGGCTTAGTCCGGGTTCAGCCCTGGTTCAGTCCTGGTTTAGTCCTGATTCAGTCCAGGTTTAGTCCTGGTTTAATCCTGGTTTATTCCTGGTTCAGTCCTGTTGTTTTGTGTGACTAATAGAAAGACTGACAGATGTGTTAAAGTCTCGTCTTCCTGTCTCTATTTCTTCTGGATTATTTTGAGGAGAGGTCGACTTCGTCACTACCTCAGCACAGGAACATCATATGGACCAAGTACTTGAATATCACAGTAACATTTTGAACCCCTCCCTGTGGAATAATGTGACAAACTGGTAAATGACTCTGTCTAACTCTGGGCCACTGGATAAAATAACCATGATATTACATTTTTAGTGGCTCTGACCTGTTGCCAATTTGAAGAGATGTTCAACGCAACTTTATCCATTTCCCCCGCACTTTAACTTCTACTGCAACTTCTACTTCTGCTGTGATTATAATAAAAGGTCCTCTGTAACACAAAACTGACTCTTGTGAGCTTTAAACCATATTAGTACAGAGTAAAACACTGTTCTTGATACAAATGTGTGCTCACTGTCTGTAACTGACACCACGGTAGGAAAAGTTTGTGCTCTTTTCCAACAGGAGGTTACGTCTGTGCCCTCTGCTGTTTTCTACTGAGAAATTTTGTCCCTCACACTTTATGGGAAAAAGGATGGACTGTGAATCAAAAATGTATAATAAATAATCAAATGAGGGATGTCGCCTTTAAACTTATGCACAAAATTTACCTACTAATAAATTTATGCTAAATATATTAAAACAATTGACCCTAACTGCATTTTTTGTAAAGAATATCCCGAAACAATAAGTCATCTTTTTTGGAAATGCACTATTACCAAAACTTTTGGAAAGGGTCAATATTCCTAACATTTCATTAAAATTGTAACATATTATTATATATGAAAATAATATAGACACAGATAAAAAATGGCAATTGACTGAATTATTATTTTTGGCAAATCTTAAATTCATAAATGTAAATTCTCTTATACCTCTTAGTTTTTTCCTGCTTTATTTAAGCAATTAGAACTCCACCTATCCATTATTTCTAAAAGCAGAAACAAAAAAGACATATTGACATATGAAATATGAATATCTTTGTACAATGTCATGGCATATGTTCTGTATGTTGTCTTTTGTTATATAAGAAAAAAAAGAAAAAGCATTCTGTGCACTGATTGGCTACTCTGAATGCAGAATGCACTCTGCTCACAGGAGCTGCTGCTACTCCAGAAATGTACTTCTTTCTGGCTGTTTTTTTTTTTTTTTTTTTTCATATCTAAATTCTTAACTTTTTCGCCTGGGCCTGGAAACAACTGCCTTTCTCTTTAATACAGCTATTTTTAAGATTTAAAAGTGTGAAAATGAGCTGAAATGTGAGTTAAAGTTAAACCATAGACTGTGATAATAATAAAATCACATTTTATTCTTAATAAAAAAACACACACACACAAAACTATATCTACATAAACAAAGAACAGAAATAGATGCAGCTGTTTTTGTGGGTGATAAAGCAGAAGCCAAAAGTGAGGAACAATATTTGATTACAAGTATAACATAGTCAATTATGATTAAAACTTAAAATGATTAAATTAATATGTCAGTTAAAGGATCAGCCAGCATGTCACATGTTCAGTCTAGGCCCAGGTCTCATGGGGATCTCATCAGGTCTAACTCCAGAACCTCTGAGGTCCTCACTCTAGCGCCCCTTCTGGCCCGGACCTGAAACAGCAGGACACAGCACATCCACAGGTCACAAAACCAAGTCTAATCCAGACCTCAAACCAGCACTGAACCAGGTCTAAACCAGGACTTAACTAGGTCTAAACCAGGTCTAAAGGTTAGTACCTTGCAGTAGCAGTAGGACATTGGGAGGATGTACAGGAGCATCAACAGAAGCATCACCACAACTCTGATGATCAGGTCTGAGTCTGACTCTGCAACACAAAAGAACCCAGATCAGACCAGGACCAGGACTGGACCAGGACTGAGACTAAGACCAGGACCAGGACCTGGACAAAGAACAGGACTAAGACCTCTACAGGAATAAACAGAAGAAAGTCCACCTGCAGGGGGCGATGCAACAGCTGGAGGTCAAATCAGGATTCTCTGGAACAGAACGGAACAAACGACAGGGCAGAGGGCACAGAGGGGGCAGAGGGCACAGAGGGGGCAGAGGGCACAAAGGGCATAGAGAGAGCAGAGGGCACTGAGAGAGGAGAGGGGGTATTGTGGGAATGGGACAGAGATATTGAATATACTTGTTCAAAGTGTGTGTGTAGATTGTATATGGGTTTATTGTTTATGTGTGTATTGTGTATTATGTTTGTTGTGTGTTTTGTCACACACAGACACACACTAGAGCTTCATTCAGTCGTGTTGTGTCAAGTTAAACATGTGTCTCTGAACGACTCTCCCAGTGCATTGTGGTCTATACTGACCACTCTATACTCTATACTGACCCTCTATACTCGATCTATAGTTCCTCACATCCTGTAGGTCCTCACAGCTGACTGGTTCGCTCAGATGGGGTGAAACCATAGACTGTATATATAAATGGACAGAGCTAACGCACTAGCCACCGCGTTCCAAACAGGAAGTTCACATGTGGCTCTTCCGGCTCCTTCTGACTATGGCTCCCATTGACTTACACTGGAATATTGTGGCTCCTCTCTCTGTAACTGCCGCTGTGAGCCTCGCCATTTTGGTCTTAAAATGTTGTTCCGCTACATGATCCTGTTATTATTTTTTTTCACACTATTTTTCATTTAATTTTTCATTCATCTGAGTGGAGCTGAACTCTGTGGGTGACATCACACTTGCTCAGTCCACTTCTTTATACATTATATGAGGCTGTAGCTGGACGTACCTCCCAGAAAGAGCTGGAGGCTGGGGCTCTGAGAGGAGAAGCTGTGGTCGAACACCTGCAGGAGGTAAACACAGGTGTAGTTTCCTTTGTGGGCGTGGTCAGTGTCAGAGAACAGGAAGTGGGCGGAGTGACTGACGGCGGGCAGGGTGCGGTTCTGAGTGGGGGGTGCGGTGGGAGAGAGGAGCCGGAAGGAGCCTCCCGGGTACTGTGGCTCCACAGAGCATTTGACCCTGAACTTTGAGCCCAGCTGCACCCGCACCCCCTGAGGCTGGACCTCAGACGCCCCTTCAGACACAGACACTGAGATGATTGGACGATTCAGTAAGTCTGTGGAGAGACATGACTGGACCGATTAGTCTGTAGAGACGAAAGTGTGTGAGATACACTCCTCTGGAGCAACTAGAAAAAACATCTGAGAGACATAAAAATGTAAGATCAGACTTTTACCTGAACACACCACCTCCAGACCCGAGGATGAGGAGGATGACTCAGAGGCACATTCTCTCAGTGAAAACTTCTTCACACAGTTAGCTGAGACCAACACCACAAGACTCTGTGAAAAATTAGCTCTCTCTTTTCCATAAACAGCAGAACCACAGTTCAGGTCTCTGCACACAGCAGCTGTGTCCTCCTGGTCCCAGAATCCAGAGGGATACACCCGTCTCCACTCTCCTCCATGTTTCACCTCCACAGTCCCAGCACAGCGACTGGCCCCTCCCGCCAACCTGAGCGGCTCTGAACAGACAAGAGACAGAGTGAAGCCACGCCCCTTTACCTGAGCAGTGAGGCCCCGCCCCTTTACCTGAGCAGGTGAGGTTGACAGTGGCTCCAGAGGAGCAGGTCCTTGAGCCAGAGCGGGGACAGTCCATCAGAGCAGATTCATGGCCCTCACAGTGGAACGTCTGCCCCAGAGGAGAGAGCGCCCCCTGGAGGAGAGAAGGAGCCCCACACCCCAGCTCCCTGCACAGCACCTCTGCCCCCTGCTGGTCCAAGTCCCCGTCACAGACCCCAGTCCAGGACCCGTCCCAGAACTGCACTAATCCTGAGCACAGACCAGACCCTGAGACCAACCGCACCGAGTCTGTGGACACACCACAGACTGTATAAAGAAGTGGACTAAGTGAGTGTGACATCACTCATAGTGTTCAGCGCCGCTCAAATGAGGCTCGAGATGCTCACGGTTACAAGAGCCAATCTGGAGCCAGAATCTATTATGTATTCTGTTATGAATAGGATATTTTGACAGACAAAATAGCAAAAAAAAAAATAAAAAATCATGTAGAGCGGGTAAATACAAACATTTTAAGACCAAAATGACAAAGTTCACAGCTGCAGGTACAGAGAGAGGAGCCACCAGATCCTAATGTAAGTCAATTGGAGCCAGAGTCACAAGGAGCCAGAAGAGCGTCCTGGTGAACTTCCTATTTGGCACGCGGCGGCTAACGCATTAGCTCTGTCCACTCATATATACAGTCTATGGGACACAAAAAACATCTGAGAGACATAAAAATGTAAAATCAGACTTTTACCTGAACACACCACCTCCACACGCTGAGGAGAGGAGGGGGATGAATCAAAGACACATCCTCTCATTGAAGACTTCTTCACACAGTCAGCTGAGACCCTCCACACAGGACTCTGTGGAAAATCACCTCTCTCTTCTCCATAAAGAGTTGAGCCACAGTCCAGGTCTCTGCACACAGCAGCTGTGTTCTCCTGGTCCCAGAGTCCAAATGGCCACACCCGTCTCCACTCTCCTCTGAATTTCACCTCCACAGTCCCAGAACAGCGACTGGCCCCTCCCACAAGCCTGAGCTCTGAACGGAGAAGAGACAGAGTGAAGCCCCGCCCCTTTACCTGAGCAGGTGAGGCCCCGCCCCTTTACCTGAGCAGTGAGGCCCCGCCCCTTTACCTGAGCAGGTGAGGTTGACAGTGGCTCCAGAGGAGCAGGTCCTTGAGCCAGAGCGGGGACAGTCCATCAGAGCAGATTCATGGCCCTCACAGTGGAACGTCTGCCCCAGAGGAGAGAGCGCCCCCTGGAGGAGAGAAGGAGCCCCACACCCCAGCTCCCTGCACAGCACCTCTGCCCCCTGCTGGTCCAAGTCCCCATCACAGACCCCAGTCCAGGACCCGTCCCAGAACTGCACTAATCCTGAGCACAGACCAGACCCTGAGACCAACCGCACCGACTCTGTGGACACAAGTGTGACATCACCGCTGTAGTGCAGTTCTATATCTGTGGTGTATATATAGATATATATATATATCTATATATATCTATATATATATCTATATATATATATATATATATATATATATATATATCTATATATATATATATATATATAGTGTGTGTGTGTATATATATGTGTGTGTGTATATATATATATATATATATATATATATATATATATATATATATATATATATATATATATATATATATATATATATATATATATATATACCACCAAAATCAGACTTTTACCTGAACAGTTCACCTCCACACCTGAGGGAGAGGAAAGCTCTGAGCCATAGAGACATCCTCCCATTGAAGACTTCTTCACACAGTCAGATGAGATGCTCCACACACGACTCTGTGGAAAATCATCTCTTTCTTCTCCATAAAGAGCAGAGCCACAGTCCAGGTTTCTGCACACAGCAGCTGTGTTCTCCTGGTACCAGAATCCAACGGACCTCATCCGTTTCCACTCTCCGCCGAGTTTCACCTCCACAATCCCAGCACAGCGACTGGCCCCTCCCACCAGCCTGAACAGCTCTGAACAGATGAGAGACAGAGTGAAGCCACGCCCCTTTACTTGAATACCTTGTATTTCTGTGGCAGAGTGGTTAGCCTGGTGTGAGTGTCTTTACCTGAGCTGTCTTCTGCCAGGACCCCTGCACACAAGAGTCATGTCACAAAATGGATTCTGTTGGTCACACAACCCAGAGCTTCACACACTCACACACACACACGTGTACACACACATGCACACACACACACACACACACACACACGTGCACACACACACACACACGTGCACACACACACACATGTGTACACACACATGCACACACCCACACACACACACACGTGCACACACACACACACACATGTGGGCACACACACACACAGACACACACGCACACACACATGCACACACGTGCACACACACACACACGTGCGCACACACCCACGCACACACACACACACGTGCGCACACACGCACACGTACACATGCATACACGCACGCACACACACACGCACACGTACACATGCATACACACACACACACACACACACACACACACACACACTGCTCAGTACTTTACACTGTTAAAAGTCCTGTATAAAATCCTGCACAGAGAGCAGTGTTTAACATTCACACTGTTTGAGAGTTTGTTGGAGATAAGAACACGCAGCTGCAGTACTGCAGTACCACTGTGTGTGTACTGCAGTACTGCTGTGTGCGTACTGCTGTACTGCTGTGTGAGTACTGCAGTACTGCTGTGTGTGTACTGCAGTACTGCTGTGTGTGTACTGCTATACTGCTGTGTGAGTACTGCAGTACCGCTGTGTGTGTACTGCTATACTGCTGTGTGAGTACTGCAGTACCGTTGTATGTGTACTGCAGTACCGTTGTGTGTGTACTGCAGTACTGCTGTGTGAGTCTGTTCAGGTGTGTGTTTGTGTCTTTTTATTTATTTATTTAATAAAATCTAAAAAGAATATGGAGATAGATGAGTGTCTTTATTATCAAATAAATATCAGGCCATTCACAAATACAATGACATTCACAAATATAATTCATGACACAAATAAATGTAAGAACATTCACAAAAGCATTTCTTGACTCAAAAGAAAATGTTACACTATTCACAAAAGTGCAGTTACATTTACTTGCAAAATGATGAACCTGCATTTACAAACCACCGTACATTTTTGTGTCTATCCCTACATTTATTTGTGGATTTTTGAGACCTTCCTGACACTGTTTTATGTACAAATGTTTTTGTTTTTTTTAAAACAGCCAATCATATCAGCTGAAGTCCGAGTGGCTGTTTAAAAAAAATAAAAATAAAAATTTGTGCATGGAACAGTGTCAGGAAGGTCTCAAAAATCCACAAATAAATGCAGGGATAGACACAAATATGTATGGTGATTTGTAAATGCAGGTTCATCACTTTGCAAATAAATAAACTGCCCTGACATTTGTGAATCGTGTAACATTTTCTTTTGAGTCGAGAATGTTCTTATATTTCTTATATTTATTTGTGTCATGAATTATATTTGTGAACGTTGTTGTATTTGTGAATGGCCTGATATTTATTTGATAATGAAGACGCTCATCTACCTCCATACAAAAATTCACTCACCCGTGTTGTAGAAGGACCAGAGCAGGAGCAGTCCTCTGAGGGCCATAACCCGGACCGAACCAGGACCGGACCAAGACTGAACCAGAAGCAAACCAGGACCAAACCAAGGCTGAACTATGACTGAACCAGGACTGAACTGAACTGAACCAGAAGCAAACCAGGACCGAACCAGGACTGAACCAGAACCAAACCAGGACCGAACCAGGACTGAACCAGAACCAAACCAGGACCGAACCAAGACTGAACCAGAAGCAAACCAGGACCGCACCAGGTCTGAGGCTGGTCTTTGAGGGTTTCATGCTTTAGACACATTTTTATCTCTTCATCGATTGTGGTTTTTCTCACTTAAAACAAAAAAAATATATAAAAAATTTGCCATAATCAGATGTTTCTTCAGACTCTAATCTGTGTTTGAATCTTCACATTTTAAAACCAAGACAAAACTAAAGTGTATGTAATCTTTACTTCAAAAAGCGTTTCCCTAAATCGGTCTGTTTATAAAACGGTCAGTAAGAGGATTTCAGCTCCTCCGTCACACAAACGGACTCTTGTAACTTTTAAGACATGTTATACGATTGTTTTATATAATTCTGCATTATTTTGTGTTATTTTTGCTCCTTATTTAGAATGTATTATTACTACTTGTGTTTTTTTACTCTTTGTTATTGTAATATATTGTGATTTGTGAGTTTCTGTGTCCGAGTCATTTCCCTCTGGATCAGTAAAGTCTCTCTAAGTCTGAGTTAGTCCTAGTTTAGTCCTGGTTTTAGTCCTAGTTTAGTCCAAGTTTAGTCCAAGTTTAGTCCAAGTTTAGTCCTGGTTTAGACCTGGTTTAGACCTGGTTTTAGTCCTGGTTTTAGTCCTGATTTAGTCCTGGTTTAGTCCTTGTTTTAGATCTTCTTTAGTCCTGGTTTAGACCTTGTTTAGACCTGGTTTAGTCCTGGTTTACTCCTGGTTTAGACCTGGTTTAGACCTGGTTTTAGTCCTGGTTTTAGTCCTGATTTAGTCCTGGTTTAGTCCTTGTTTTAGATCTTCTTTAGTCCTGGTTTAGACCTGGTTTAGTCCTGGTTTTAGTCCTGGTTTTAGTCCTGGTTTAGTCCTGGTTTTAGATATTCTTTAGTCCTGGTTTAGTCCTGGTTTAGACCTCCTTTAGTCCTGGTTTAGTCCTGGTTTTAGATATTCTTTAGTCCTGGTTTAGTCCTGGTTTTAGTCCTGGTTTAGTCCTGGTTTTAGATATTCTTTAATCCTGGTTTAGGCCTGGTTTAGTCCTGGTTTTAGATATTCTTTAGTCCTGGTTTAGTCCTGGTTTAGACCTCCTTTAGTCCTGGTTTAGTCCTGGTTTTAGATATTCTTTAGTCCTGGTTTAGACCTGCTTTAGTCCTGGTTTAGTCCTGGTTTTAGATATTCTTTAGTCCTGGTTTAGTCCTGGTTTAGACCTCCTTTAGTCCTGGTTTTAGATATTCTTTAGTCCTGGTTTAGTCCTGGTTTAGACCTCCTTTAGTCCTGGTTTTAGATATTCTTTAGTCCTGGTTTAGTCCTGGTTTAGACCTCCTTTAGTCCTGGTTTTAGATATTCTTTAGTCCTGGTTTAGTCCTGGTTTAGACCTCCTTTAGTCCTGGTTTTAGATATTCTTTAGTCCTGGTTTAGACCTCCTTTAGTCCTGGTTTTAGATATTCTTTAGTCCTAGTTTAGTCCTGGTTTTAGATCTTCTTTAGTCCTGGTTTTAGTCCTGGTTTAGACCTGGTTTAGTCCTGGTTCAGTCCTGGTTTAGTCCTGGTTCAGCCCAAAATGTGAAAACTGGAAAATACCGCCGTGTAATCCATTTATTTCAACAAAGTAACTGTAATCCAATTACCACTCATGGAAACAGTAACTGTAACCGAATATATTTACTCATAATTTGTACTCTGATTACATAACGCCGGTACATGTAATCTGTTACTCCCCAACACTGTTAGTAGAGATCACTCAGTTCATTCAGGTTAGGTTGCATTTGATATTAAAAAAAAAACAAAAAACGTGCAAGTGAGAAGATGAACAGATGAGATGAGGAGATGAGGAGATGAACAGAACTCACCACAGATGAACCACTGCACGAACACTTGTGTGACGAGCTGATGATGGGATCTTTACTCTAAACTGGAGATGGAGCGATAGCCAAAGCTCTCAGTTCGATATTTACGACAAGACTTTTCTGTCCTAATTCAAATAAGTACATTTTAAAGTGCTCAATAACAGTGACTTCACAGTGTAGCTTGGACTGAAACAGCAAAGGATCATGGTCTATGTAGTTCTCTCTGTTTTTAGCTGACACTGCAGGAAAATTAAACCTATGACATTTGTAAAGGTTTATATTATTGAGCTGAGGCTTTATAAACCTTAAAATGCACTGGCACGTGACAAACTGCACAGAGTCTCTTCAAAACGTTCGTGGGGAGGCAGAGTCGGGGTCAGAGCACATCGACTGGAGGGGCGTGGGTTGTTGAGGCTGTGACAGACGATCAGTGTTGGGGAGTAACGGATTACATGTACCGGAGTTACGTAATCAGAGTACAAAGTATGAGTAACTGTATTCAGTTACAGTTACTGTTTCAGTGAGTGGTAATTGGATTACAGTTACTTTGTTGAAATAATTGGATTACACAGCGGTATTTTCCTGTTTTCACATTTTGGGCTATTCCCTTTTTTTTTTTTTTCTCGGTAATTCCACTCATTACCGGACACTAAACCAGGTCCAAACCAGGTCTAAACCCAGGTCCAAAACAATTCTAAACCTGGTCTAAAACCAAGTATAAACTAGGTCTAATCCAGGACTAAACCAGGACTAAAACCAGGTCCAAGCCAGGTCTAAACCAAGTCTAAAACCAGGTCTAAACTAGGTCTAAACTAGGTCTAAACCAGGACAAAACCAGGATTAAACCAGGTGTAAACCAAGACTAAACCAGGTCTAAACAGGATTTAACAGGACTAAACCATGCTGTTTGGACCATGTCTCCTCTTCTTCTATCAATAATATTTTTTATTTGGTTCAGTAAAGTCTGGGCTTTTCATTTTTTTTTTAGCAGACAAAACATTTTATGTGAAGATTTCCTCGTCTTTGCTTCTCTACAGCAAATCAAGTAATCTAAAGTATTCAGATTACATTACTCACTTTCAGTAATTTAATGGATTATGTTACATTTTGGGGTATGTAATCTGTAATCTGTAAGGGAATACATTTTAAAAGTCACCTGTAGACGATACACACACAAGACGATGATAAAAGGTTGAGTTTTTTTTTTTTTTTTTTTTTAAATCAATAACGCCTGCCACTGGTTGTAAACATTAAACAACAGCCTCTTGTCAAAAACAAATGTGAAAACCGGAGCTACTGGCAGTGGTGGAAACAACCTGCACAGGCTCATGATATCTGCTCTACTGTCCTAGAGACCTGAGACATGAGGGACCAGGGTGTTCAAACTACCCCCTTCAAAAATTACCCCCTCTGTTTTCAGATTACCCCCCATCTTGATCAATACTTAAAAGAATATATTTGATACAGTGTTTTATAGCTTTATACTGCTTTATTGCTTCATATCACACACATTATAAAGAGAATACAATCAGCATAATATATAAAGTGCAGGGGCAAAGTCTTTATTGTGCACAATCAAATTTATTACATCAACAACAAACTCACAGAACCAGTACAATAAATGAAATCATCAAAGCAAAGTCTTTATTGTGCACAGCCTTTATCATGAAATCATTACAACGTTTTCTTCTTTATTTTTGAAACCGTATCCTACTTTTTCCATGAAATCATTCAAACCTTTTCTTTTTCTGAAATCTTATCCATTTTGACCATACATCTGGTACGCTGGCATAGTACATTTACAAGTTCAGACGCCGCGAAAGTTAAGTCAGACGGGCAGTACCACACACTATGCTGGGGTATCAGACGTATGGTGCAGAATACTTTGCAAGTTCCGTATATATACAGACAATTAAATTCTTTGTAGTACTAATCGCAATCTTCATTTCTTGAGTAAATCATAGTGTTGTACTCAATGGAGTGCATATTTTCTTTAATCTATTTAACTAATTACTACACTGAAAAAAAGGTCCGAGAGGGGTTGCTCAAATTGCAAAAACTAATTTGACAACAATAACTTGACTTTTTTATGTTTCTCTGTCCAGCATGTTTAAATCTTACAAAGGTCGCTTGATTGTGGCCGATGTGAGATCTGCATCAATCAGGTTGAGGAAACATGACTTTATTATAATCTCTGGTGAGGCTCCTCCCTCTGGAATTCTCCTCCCCAAAACTTTTGGAGGGAAAATTCAAACGTAACATGACACAGGAGAGTTCCAGGAGCAGAGGACACACAGTGTGGAGCAGGAGGATTATCAGAGCTGATCTGGAGGTAAAACTTTTCAAAGATTTTATATGTTTCTCTGGCCTAGAATGACGTCATTGTTAAAACATGTTTGTGGTGTTTTATTTGAAATTAGAGTTAATGTAAGGACTGTTTCCATGAAACAAATTGTATTTGACTGTCCATCTACAAGACTGTGACAGTTGAACTCAGATTTGAATGTGTTTGTTCCAGAGTCGTCTACAAACACAGAGTGACGTCCAGGTTCTGCTGGAGCTGTGGGGAGGTTCATGAATGTTATAGCTGATGTTTCAGGAAAAAGGAAGATGTTTAAGAACCAACAAAACACAGACCACAGATGAACAAAGTAAGTAACTCAACTAAAATTATTTTAAAATAATTTTTCAAAATTAACTTCCTATTGAAACTGTTATCGTACTTGTACAAGGTGATGTGGCACTAGGAGACTTTATACCAGATGCCCTCCCTGTTACTGCATTTAGAAGAAGAAACGCAACACACAGTGAGTTTAGTTTCTGCAGATACAGTTCTAATGTTCTTGTGATTCTGTTCTGGTCCATTATTGTAGTAGAAGTACTTTAAATGTATTTGAACATATACAACACAGTAGATCATCAGAATGTGATCATCATGTGTTATTCTGTGTCCACAGAGACCAGAGCTTCTT